TTATAATACTTAAATAATAATAAATTATTTTATTATATTATTAATAATAATAATTATAAGCTATATATTCTAAAGTTAGTTATATAAGATATAATTTATCTCGCTTATAATAAAAACTTTTATATAAAAATAAAAACTTTTATAGAGCTATAATAATTTTATTTTTATAAAAAAATATTTCGTAACGGACTATATATAATACTACTTAGTATATTATAAAAACTAAATATACTATATCTTACTAATAAAAATCTCTAACTTATCATTACTTAGTATCCTATATAATATTATTATTATTAATTTCGTTATTAATATACTAAAGACCCTTATAAAGCATAGCTTTTAGTTACTACCCGATTTCTAAATACTTAATACCTTAATAATAATAATATATAAATTTTTAAAAAGCTAATACTTATACTAAAAATATATAATATAAAGTATATTACTAAGCTAAGGTACTACTCTAGGTATTATTCTTATATAACTAGGGACTACTATAGAAAATTATTAGTAATAAGGACCCTAAATTCGTTTTTATAGTCTAGGGAGGAATATTCTAAATAGTCGGGGTTAAGCTACTTATCTTAATTACGTACTACTCTTAAATAAATAAGTAAAGCGAATAAAGTAACTAAATAATAAAAATTACGATCCGTTTTTACGTTTTTATTTCCTAAAAATACTATAAATTAATATTTTATTAATATTATAATATACGCTTAATAATTCGTTAATAATTATAATTAACTACTTACTAAACGAATTAATACTCGTTTAAACTACGCTTAGTACTTAACTATGTTAAAACTGCGATATTACTAATAAAATTAGTTAACATACCGGAATATTTATTAATAAAAAGCTACGGTACTTATTAATATTAGGGCTATTTAAAAATAGTAGTATAATAATAAGTATTAAAACGTAATATTTTATAAAAGAAATAAGGTATTTTAAAACTAGATAATAGATACTATTTTTAAGTAAACTTAAAAAAATAATCCCTAAATAAGCTAAGCTTTTTATATAATTCGTATAGTTAACCTGCTCGCTTATAAATTAAACTTTTATTTTAATAAAATATATACCTCGTAGTTTTTAATATATAGCTCTAAAAATACCCTAAAACTAAAACCTATTTAAAAAAATTTAACTATTACCTAATCCTATAACTATTAATAATATTAACGAGTATAAAATTAAAAAGTTTACGTAGTATAAAGTTACGTAGTAAAAAAATACTTATTAATTAAGTATTTTATTAAATAGGCAGGTTAAACCTTAGCTTATAATATATTATATAAAAATCTCTTATTAAACACTAATAACCTTATTAAAGAATTTAAAACTACGAACCCTCTCGATTAAGAAAGAGAATATTATAAAAGGTAAAAAGCTACTTAACGTAACTATATAAACCTAATATTAATAAAAAAGACTCTTCTACTTACTATAGAACTTTAACTTTTTTATAAATAACCTTAGTATATTATAAAATATAAAATACTCCCTTATTAGAACCTAGTTTTAATTTAATAAAAGCTTTTAATTTTTTATAAATAAAAATAATTTTCTTTTTAATATATTCTTTTATAATTTTCCTTATACTTATAGGGACCGTAGCTTAGTAAAATAAAAAAGGAAGGTACTTATTAAAATACTTACTATTTTTATATTATTAATTTTAGTATTTATATTTACGTATTCTTATTACTTATACTTATACTTATTTACTTACTTAATTACCTATAACCCTTAACTTTTTATTTATAATAACGTAGTATACCCTCTTATAATAATCTAAATAAACTATTTATAATAATTAGCTAGCCCTCCCTTTATTAATTACCTTAATTTATTACGTAGCTCCTTATTAAATTATATATACTTTTATTAATTATAATAAATCTTATATTATTTACGAATTACGAATACTTATTATACTACTTTACTTTTATATAAAATTCGAAATAAATAAAATTTAAAACGTATAATTAGTTTATTATTAGTATACCTAATTTTATAATATATTAACTACTACTCTTTTGTAATTAAAAGATCCCCGAGCTTAGTACTAATAAACTTAAAACGCCTCTTATTATTTATAAATAAATAAATAATAACGAATTTATAATCCCCTAGCTACGTAGGCCTCTAATATTAATAACTTTAGTAATAATAGTTTTAATAGCTTTAATAAGATTATATATAGCCCTTTATATAAACTTTTAATAATTTTAATATTAAGTTTAATAAATATATTTTATATATAAATACTGTGGGCTGAGGTTTTTATATTAAAATTATAATTATTACTCTTCTTAATGATTACGTTACTCTTTATAAAATTATAAATAATAATAGTATTATTATAAAGTATTATAATATTATTAATAGTTAGTAACGCCCCGTTTTATATTATAAAAATAATAATAAGATTGAGGTTATATTTTAATTTCTCTTTTTAATAAAAAAGCTCTTTTAGTTTATAAAAGACCTTATTAAAACTACTGCGTATAAACTTAAAATTATTAAATATATTAAAAAAAGTCTTTTAATAGCTCTAAGAATACTTTAATAATGAGAATAAATTTATTAATACGAAAATAATTTTTAAAACTTATAATAATAATGAGCGTAATTATTAAAACTATAACGACTTTTTAAATTCGTTAATATTTATAAGGTAAAAAATACTTAAAAAGATGCGTTCTTTTTATAAATATTATTTATAAAAAGTTATTATATATTCCATGCCCTAAAAACTTTATAATCCTTAGTAATGCTTATAAAACCCTGCGAGGTTATAAATATTTATAATAAAATTTTAAAGCGTATTAAATATAAGTTTAAAAGTATATTAAATCCTATTTTCTAAACTAAAATTTATGTATAAATTAGAACTTATTATAAAAACGTATAAGTTAAAATAAGCTTTAATAATAAATAAGCTCTTATTTTTAATATAATATACTATAAAATTATTAAGGCCTATATTAAAGCTTATAAAATATAAAAATAAAAAGACTTAGAGTAAGTACTTCCTCTCCTATATATTAATTTTTAATAATATTTATATAAGTAATAAGAACTACGTTAATAATACTATTATAAGTACCTTATAATACTAAAACGCTTTAACTTATTTATATCCTATAAAATTAAGTATATTAACGAGAATAAAACGTTTATTATAATAATTAAATATTTTTATTATTATATTAAGGATTACGTTATTAAAATTATTAAGCTTAAAATCTATTTTATGAGTTTAAGTTTAATATAATTAATAATATATATAAAGTAACTATCCTTTAAAACGTAGTTAATATAATTAGTAATACTAAGATATATGGGCTATTACTCTATACGTTATAACTAAAACTTAAAAAGATATTATTTATATAGTACGTAGTGGAGTATAATAATTCTCTATTAAGGAACTTATAATAAGCTTATTACCCTTAATAACTATATTTAAGACTAACTTATTATTATTATAAAAAGTTTAAAAATAATTATATAAAAGAACTATTATTAAAACTAAGCTCGTAAACGAGCTTATTAATTTAAAAAAGAAGTTAGTAAAATAACTATTACTAAACCCCTACTTAGTACCCTAGTTAAAATAATTACTCTTAAACTTAAAATTATTTTTAAATACCTAGCTATAACTAATATAAGTTCTTTTAAAACTAAGAAATAAAGGACTAGTACTTATCTAAACTTATTAAATAATAATAAATAAGGAGTATATTATAAAGTTTTAAAATTAAAATATATAAATAAAAAAAGGTTAAAATAAAAAGATATTAGTTTTAAGTATAACTAGGATAGTTATTTTTATATGGAGAGTATTTATAATATTTCCTTAATTATTTTATAATAATTATATATAATACGTAACCCTCGTATATTTAAATAGCTTAACTATATCCCTCCTTATAAAAAAGGATAACTATAAAAATATACGTTTTATATTACCTATTTTTTACTTCCGTATTACTTTTTATATTACTTTTTAATTATAACCTTATTTTATATAATACGTCCTAATTATATAACTACTTAACTAGGCCGCAGTCTTACCCCCTCTACTAGAGCACCCTCTATCAAGGAGACTATATTAATAACGCTTATATATAATTTAATTAATTAATATATAATTTAAAACTATATAGTAGGGTAGTTATAAAATTAGATTTCTACTTTAGCATATAAAAAAAGTGTTTTAGCAGAGTGCCTCTTGTAGTCTGCTGTAGACGGGAGCGGACCGCTGTCCAGTATAGTGGAGCAATGTGTGGACGCTGGATAAGCTAACAGAACGCCGAACACCTCCCTAGACGCGTAGGATATCAGATAGTTCTACATGCTACAGCATGTTCAGGAGGTTCATGACCCACCCAGTAGGGATTTTCACAGTAGGAGAACAAGTAGTAAAAGCACCTTGGTCATTGCTCGGCCCAGTAACATGCTTAAGCACATAGCTACTTAATTAGTAATGTCAAACGTAGAGAGTAACGCAGTCTGACTTGATTGCGAGGAGATTACGCGCGCGAGTTCAGATAATTCTCCCATTGATATCACAACCACATAGAGGAAAGATTTCCGGGCTCAAGTCAGCGTGGACAGCCACTCGCTCTTGTCTCTAGTTCATTCTCACCGCTACACGTCTCACACTCAGCAGCTGCGAGTCCGGATCACACTCCGTTTTCGAAAACGCCAGCAGTAGTTATGCACTAGTCTCAGTCGCCCAGGGCGGCCATCAAGCCACTGGGAATACAGTCGATACATTCATTACTTTTGTCTTCCAGTTGCCTCTACGGAAGATCTTTGGATTTAGTGAAAATGTGCTGTCTCCCACCCTCCCAGATGTGTATAAGGGGCCTGCTCTCTTACGGAAAATTCTCAAAAAGTTTTCAGTCACAATCATTCTCAACTTTGTCCTAAACCAGCTACTCTCAGACACACCTCAAGCATCTTTCAGATATCTCAACATGACTACTCCCCAAGTCTCCAAGGCTGATGCCGATCTTTGGCTGGCTTACGGTGTGAAGCTCAAGAACACTTTCGCTCAATCCTTCACCCCTGGCGACAACAGCCGCTTCTACATCGCACCACTCTCTTGTGCAGGTATCGCGGCCGGCAGGAATATCAACTCAGCCATCACTAACAACGGCGTGTATGTTATCGGTGACACACTTCTAAGCCTTGACGAGCCAGTCTTCCTTCCTGGCCGACAGAGCTACTTCCAACGATGCCTCTCGTATGTCACTCTGCTCAACCTTTACGAAATGCCCCGCTAAACGATAGACCATAATAGGTACGCCAACAGCGTCGAACTTGTAAGCTTTACCCCAATCGAAGTGCTAACAAACTGACCAAACACTTGCAGCACTCGCATGAGAACACTGTCGCCCAAGCTCGGTACAATATTGCGCAGGAAGAAGCCCGGGAAGCCCAGAAGAGATATCAAGACGCCAAATTTATCGCCATTAAGATCTGGAAGAAGAATTTGACTGCCCAGATCACTACTGACTCCTTCTCTCAGTGGTGCATCCAGAACTATCCTATGTTTTCATTGGCGCAGTCCTCCAATGACGCTGCCGCCGCTGCCGCAGCTGTTGCTTCTTCCGATATGAATGACCCAATGGCTCCCATCGTGAGACAATATCAGTCAAGTCTCAATGCTGCCAATGGCACGTCTGCAATTCCTGGGTGAGTGACTGAACGGCTTAAGGTGCGAGGGTCTTTTCTGATCTCATCAGCGTGACCATGACCTGCTCCTCTGCCAGCGCCGATCAGATCTCTTCCGGTCAAGCTGGCACCCCCGGTGCTCCGTTGGAGCGTCCCGCGTATACGATAACCTCTCAGTACCCCCAAGTCGTTAACGGCTGGATCGACACATTCACCCAGAACTCCAAGACACCCACGACGATTACATTCAAGGCGAGCGACGCCAGTTCGTCATCTTGGCAGGACCTTGGGTACTCGAACGACACTGTTCAGATGACCAGACCGGACTGCATTTTTTTCAGCGCAACATACACCGAGAACTACGAGACTGTGACCAAAACTGTTACCGCGGAAGAAGCTGGGTCTGATTTGGAGGTTACTATCACCGTTACTGACTTCCAAAGCTTTCCTATTGCCCCCGGAAACTGGTAAGTTAACGCCACTAAAATATGAGGGGTAAACGGCTGAATGGTAGCAGGAACCCGAGCCAGCTTGCTGGTTTGCCCATCGTCGCCAACGCCGATCCCAGCCTTCGGAAGCCTATGGCGGTTGTCAACCAGGCCATCCTCGCTTACGGTGTTGGCATGGAGGTGAAGCTTTCTTCCTCCGCCGCATCCACCATCAATAACTACATGGACAAGGCCAGCTCCAACGGTGGCAGGGCGTCCATCTTTGGCTTTAACATCGGTCTCGAGGGCGACGCCAACTCCACTCAGACTTCAACCACCACCTTTGACCAAGTCAAGAGTGCCAGCTCCAGCACTAGTTTCACCATTCCCCCATCTGACAACTCCAACCCTACCTTGTTGGGTGTCATTGGCCAGGCCATCCCTCTTCCCAATAACGCATAGAAGTACATCTTGTTAGAGTAGGTTTTCCCACTGGTTACAATGTTGGTACCAGTGAGCGCTTAGTGATCGGCGGTGAGAGCTCAGCGATAGTGAGTGATGACAATGATGATAATGTATTTAACGTCCGTACTTAGTCATGAGGGGCTGTTGGGCGGGACCGACATGGTCTATGCTAAGTATCGAAGTATCTTACACGTATGAATGATGGCATTGATGGTGTTGATATACGAGAACCCGGTCGTCCATCCCGATACACCTCTCCTGTGTAACCAACTGCAGCAAACCCAAGCCTGAAGCTCTCTATCCAATCACAACCATGCAAATCACCTTGGCTGCATTGCTAAGTCATCAGAAGGGAACAACGATCCTCCGACGTTGGGAGACTGTTGCATCTTATCACTTCAGCCGATGCCTGCCGAGAGGAGATACGTATTGGCAGTTGCTTTCTGGAGGGTGGTAAGCAGAGTCGTAATAGGCAGTAGGCTATCCACAGTTTGTCTGGACACAATCCCTGTTGGCACGACGCGGTTGGAAGGTCCTCGTCGCGTCTGAAAGGATAAATTGGCTTGCTTGCAGCCTTTCCTTTCCTTCCCTCCCTCTTTCTTTTTCTTCCTTTCATCATTCTCCTTTCCTTCCATCGTCCGGGGGAGAACGAGGCAGCGGTGCCTTCCTTTTCAGCGTTTCCTTTTTTCTTTCTCGTTTTGCTTCGCGCGAGCTTGGAGTTCGAGCAGTGTCTGGGACACGCTTCGTTTGAATAGAGAACGCGTAGGAAGAGACGCGTCAGGTAAGACACGATGAATCCTTCTCACGTAACCTTGGACCTAGAGGCGCTGGAGCGCCAGGTCGCTCGCATCGTGGCCGAGGTCGCGGAGTCGCGTCCCGCAGAGATCGCGCGGGAGAGCGACTGGTCCCTTGTTCGCCGCGATCGCGGTGTCTGGATGGTGATTGAGACAAATGACGCTGGGGGCTCAAGGTACAGTAAGTTCGGGCATTCGTGCCGTGGGCGTGTTTTAGAGCGGGCGCGTTGGCTGATTTTGTTGGAAAGGGGCGACGGTGACCGCAGTCGGCAACGAAGAGCGTGTGAACTTCGTGGTGAACGTCGAGCGACGTGATGCCGACCAGTCGAATGGACGGCATGATGAGGATGTAATCATGACTGATGCGCCGCCGATGGAATCGGACGAAGGGGTGGATGTTAATTACATTTCAGAAGAAATAGAATTACTCATTCGCAGGCTCGAGCAATTGAGAATTGCCCCTCACCGAACGTTCTCCGTTGAGAACACCCAAGTGGGAGAGACATCTGAAGACATCAAGATGGCCAACAGTGACTGGTAAGTTGCTGAGACCCGCGTCGGTGACGCGTGAATGTTGCATCAGGAGATGTACAATGCCCTCCCGGGGAGGGAGAGGGGGATAGCAGCCAGCGTTGCGTGGTACGATCCCGAACGCGTGAGCGTGAAATGGCGCTTGGATTGGAGGTGCTGAGATTCTGGCTGAGTGACAGTCGAGGATAGGCGAGCTCGAGGGAGCAGAGACGGATGGAGTGCAGGAATTGGATGAAAATTGGTGAAGATGGACGCGCTATGTGTGCTTTAGTAGTGGCAACCAAATTGAATGAACTTCTGGACTCGATCGAACTGCTTACCTGAACTTGGAGAGTGTTGTGCTTATGGACCGCCGCTGTGACCCAACGTTGATGCGTTACTGGGCACTGCTTGAAAGAGAAGCCAGGCCCAAAGGCCCCCCATGCCTTCTACCTTATGAAATGTTTGCCGTAATAGATAGCACCCCGCTGTCATTCTCTTCCGGACGCCATTCCGACCCCGCGTTCCCCACCAACACTCGCCGTCCACACCTCAGACCACCGGCCCCCGCCCCGATCCGCTCGTCACCGACCCGGCCACCCCGTCTCCACCATCCACCGCAACACCGGCCGGCCCCCATCGTGAAAAAAATCTGCATCCAAGCCCGAGAAAAACTCTTTGCAGAATTTTTCATGATCTCCACGACTAATCCTTTCTCGCAGTAGCCCCGCAAACCCGTCTCTTCTCCTTCATGAACTCCAATCTGGCGACGCCTCTCATCAAGCAGTTCCACTTGAATCTTCTTCCAAGGCCGGTTGGCCCAATGGCAAGGCGTCTGACTACGATTCCCCTTCATCCCTCTAATCGAGAGTTGAGAGATTCGTGTAATCAGGAGATTCTGGGTTCGACCCCCAGGCTGGTCAATATCTTTTGCTCATCTGGGTTCCGCAACCCCTTCTTTTCACTGCCTCCGGCACCCTGAGGGTCCTTGGGTACCCATCCGTCGGTCACAGACATGAACAACTGTCTCTATGGCTCAGTCGGTAGAGCGTTGGTCTCATATCAAATACATATGACTCTAGATCATCTAGGGATATCCAAAGGTCGCAAGTTCGAGCCTTGCTAGGGACATTATCTTTTGTTGGATCGTGTCGTGGCTTCCTTTTTGTATATCGGCTGGCTGATGGCGTCGGTAGCCTGTAGGTTGGTGAGTCAGACTTCTGCTTCAGTCAACAGCGAACAAGAAGATGGTCAGGCACGCGCAAGTGACTCAAACATAAAGACGTATTGATAAAATGCCATTTCTTCATTAGTACGAAGTTCGTCGTCCAAGTGGACGGATTGCACTTCTCTTGGGGTATCCAGTCTTCCAGCGTCTCCTCTAAGACTCTCTCCACTGACTCACACTCCTACACAATTATGCTCCACATTAGGCGTGGATAGCCTGCTGGACCTGAGGGTACACGCGAACCATCTCGTCGTACAGTTGAGGGTGATCGCGCATGAGGACCTGAGGGTCCCATGCAGAGGCCACGAAAATGGTATCGATACCACTCGAGATGGGCGTCGTGAAGACGTTGGCGATCTGCAGGCCGATGAGGAAGGAGAAGGCGACGACCACAGGGGTGTAGTTGCCGCTCTGGTTGTAGGCGGGGTTGGTGAAGACCATGTATAGGTAGGCAAGGAACGCACAAGCATAGCCGATGAACGTGGCGCCGAAGGAGAGAACGGGGCCGATGAGGCATTCCTGGGACGTGTTAATCAACTGATAAGACTGCAAGAGGCTGTATGGGAATACTCACGTTGACAAGTGCGTCGATGCCGCGATCCTTAATCATCTTCCAGGTATCCTTGGCCGCGGGGATGTAGGCCTTGCCGTAAAGGGCAATGTGCGAGAAGGCATATCGGTTGAGGAATGACACGGCCCAGTCGAGCAGAGAGATGAGGCAGCTCAAGATGCAGAAGAGCACGTACGAAACAATGTTGCCGTCCGCGGCTGACTGCTGTTGGGCGACGGAACACAGGTGGCGGAGGAGGTTGATAATGGCGACGATCAAGCTACCGAAGCTGATGGAGCCAAAGCTGTAGGTCAGAGAGCGCTTGAGCGCGCCGCGAGTCGCGCCCTTGGGAAAGTTGTTGACGCAGAAGTACCACGAGCCGTAGACGCCTGAAATGGTGACGTGGATCACGTTCTTGAGCACCTCGGAGATCCAGTACATGGCAAAGGTAATGAAGACAATCAGCCCAATAACCTTGCCTTGGCTGCACTGGCCACTTCTGCACTGCGGGTTGTTCTGCGACGGCTGATATTTGGAGTAGGTCGCGACAAGGGTGACGGAGTACCAAGCCGCAAAAGCAGCGCCAAGCATGCCGCCGAGGAAGGAGACGAGGTAGACGTGGCCGTACTTCTTGGAGACCTGGATCGAGGTCTTGAGCATCAGGGCGGAGAAGGGGATGCGAGGGATCCAGCTGATGAAGGCGAAGACGAGGAAGACGCCAAAGATCAGGAAGACGATGCCGCCCGAGTAGTACTTGCGCGAGAGCATGTAGATTGCGGTGACGAGGGCGAAGACGATGTTAAGGATGCCCGTCACCCAGATGAAGGCCTTGGGGAACAAGCGGGCCATCCAGACGTACGCATAGCTTAGGACGATTGCGACCGCGAGAACGAAGGCGAAGAGGACGATTGTGTTCGTGCTGAGGCCGAAGGTGTTACCTCCGTCATAGATTCCACCACCATTGAGACCCTTCGTCGCAGAGTATCCGGATATCGTCAGGCCTGAGACGGCAGCGAAGCCAAGGAAGACGGCGAGGAACTGGGCGGTTTTGTTAGCGATTGAATGTCATTGGATTGACGCGGTGTTCGAGGTGTCGCCGCGACAGGGTATATCTTACCAGAATGGCAGCCCAAAGATCGTTCCACTTGGGCTTCTCAATCTTGAAAGCCTCCTCAAAGGTGTACTTCTCGGGATCGTAGCCCTGGGGCGGCGCATTGTATCCGTAGCCGTTGCTCCCATTATCGAAGCCCTGCTGAGGAGGCGGCGGAGGGGCGTAGCCCTGCTGGTAACCGCCCTGCTGGTAGTTTTGTTGTTGATTGTAGTCTTGCTGGTATCCATTGTTGTACTGCTGAGTATACTTTGGATCGTAGGGAGGCTGCTGTTGTTGCTGCTGGCCACCGTAGTAGCCAGCAGACTCGCCATAGGGTTGCGACATTGCTTCGACGACGATGCGATTGACCTCGTTTGTCGATCGTGGAAATGTCAGCCCGCGTGGACGATGGACGAACGGTGTGGTGATTGTTGTCCAGAAAGCAAGCTCTTGGCGAGGTGAGGTAGGTTGGAAGAAAACAAAACACAGCACTGGGTGAATAGAAAGGGTCTCAGTCTCAGATGTGGTTGGAATGGAAATTCAATGACGGAGCTATTGGATCGACTAATAACGAGAGGAGCAGCCACCGCAGGCCGCTCTTTTCCTCTTTGGTCCCCTCCTTCTGCCCATCCCCCTCGCCTGTCTGTGTACCATATTCAAGGTACCTTAATTCAGGTACCTGTGCGTGTGCTCTTTGCGCGGATTGTTCACTGGCGCTGCGTAGCGCAATCAGAAACAATTGGAATCAATCAGTTGGTCTCCCAAAAGGCCTCCCACCTTGGTAAGGTACCATGCCTGCCCTTGATCAAACCATCATCGCACCTTGCTCGTAGAGAAACACCCAAACCCAAAAGGCCCCAACTGGAATCCATAAAGTAAGTTTAAAAGCCAATCCAGTTTAGCTCCGACCCGTGCGCCGTGCATAGTAACGTCATTGGGCAGGAAACATCGAGACCTTGAATTTGAATCGGCCATCGTCACAGGGACTGGCAGCTTCCCTCAGCTGCGCAGGGGTTACGCGTCGATGTGCCGAGCGTCACGTGCCAAGGCTTGTCTGGGCCTTCCCGGTTCTTGGCGGGCCCCCAATCTTTCCAGATTGCTTATGTAACTCTTTCTTCAACTTCCCAAAGTTCGCGTCTTTTTGTCAAATTTCCGCGGCCCAAATCATCGATGGACATGGGACGAACTAATGCGATCTCAGAAGTCTTAACCAAGGTACAGAAAATTAGCGACATCAACGGTTGACAGGTGATGAGTTGGTGTTGTTGTGCGACATTCCCGCAGCAACCAGGCACAATGTGTACCTTATGTCATTTTCGACACTGCTGAGTGGTGACTGAACAGCTCATGACTGAGACAACTCCTCGGGTATCGGCACCTTGGAAACACCCCACTTTGACGCTGGCAGCCACTCAATTCACTAGAGGCCCAGGGCCAAGCGAGACGTCGGGCCAGAATTCTCACGCCTTGGTGGCCCCCAAAACAAGGTCCCGCGACTTGCAGGGACCCCGTTGAATAAACACCAAGCTCGCTGCTTGAGCCTGGGCCCTGGACAGACTGTTGGCAGCCTGTGACCTTTCCCATTCATTCGTTGCCGGCTACCTGTAGAGAGTTACTTGTTGAATACGACTGATGGACACTTTGAAATCTTAGGTAAGCTATTTAGGTAGGTAACTTACTATCCAGATATTGTGCCTACCTTACCGTCCGCACGCGGAAAAACAGCGCTATCTGTGTCTATCTTACCTAAGCCAGGTCACGTGATGTAGATGATTTTGAGGTCATCGCGACATATCAATTGCTTTGCCAAAGTGCTCAGAGCGGCAGATGAGAATGGTAATGCACAATGGCTGGGCAGATCTTGACCCATACCTGCACCATATGCGTGACAAATGGATCAAGGTGAGCTAGTCGACCACTGAATACCTGTCAATCCTGCCGTAACATCTTCCATCCTCATTCGTGCCTCGTTCGAAGCCGCCGTTTTTCGTGAGGGCATCCCCTTTTCTATATCGAGATATCTCACACCATCTATATTGTGATATTGACTGCTTGCCTTGTAGCTCGGTTCATTCGCTAGCCCGAGTGATCACTGTGGCCACGTACCTTGGGGAGATGCTCACAACCTGGAAAGTTTCTCTTTTCAAGTACCCTATTATTCTGATATACTCTGAGAGTCGGGAGTCGCTCAAAAGCTTCATACAGTAGACCGATACACCGCTTCTTATTCACGGTCTTTCGATATTGAATATACGAGGAGGCGAGATCAGGCTGCAGGTTACCGCCGCCAAGTCTGGCAATGAGCCAATAGCTTCGGATAGCGAATACGACTATCCCAGCGCCTTGCTCCAGAATCATCGAGGGAGCACAAATTGACCTCTATACGAATGCGAGGCTGACGATATCCAGTCCGAGGAACAAAATGTGGACGGCGGTGGTGTGGCTGAGTTCCCGCGCAGACAGTCAACACCGCGGAAATGAGTTGACAATCAATTATAGTGTTGGCTCGCTATGCCAAGATACAACACCGTCTTGACCGATAGGCCCGCGACTCATACTATCAGTCGGGTGCTGTAAAAGCATACACATACAGACATTGAAATGGCAATGCTCTCATACATATATAAATAGTGAAGAACTTCAGTAGAATTCTTTTAACCCCGGACGCCTCTCAATAGCTGCTTTACTACTACATTCACTTCAACACCTCCAACATGATCAACAACAGGAAACTCATTGCGGCTCTTCTGGCCAATGTGCTACAATCTCGCCCTGTATTGGGCCAATTTGTAAGTTCCTAGACATCTCTTCAATATTAAAGCCATAGACATCATGGTCTAACCGATGTAGGCTTCTCCGTCACCCATAGAAGACACCGGCGTCGTTCTCGAAAGTCAGAACGTCTCTGCCCAGTCTTTCATAGGACTTCCAGCTCAAGGACAGCCTCTTCCGAGAAAAACTCGCTACACCCCTGACGTGGTCGGCTTCCACCAGGACGGCGGTAACACCAGGACGAACGACTGGGATGGTCCCCTCGGCGCGTCCCCCAACGTCTCCAGCCGGTCCATCGCCATCTCAGCGCAGTACTGGCACAGCGACAATCGACTCACGGCGCGCTCCGTCTGCACGGATGCCGCGGAGCCGTACTTCTGCATCGCGGCCTTTGACCCGGATACCATGAACATGCTCGGATCCTGGGCCCCTGAGGGACAGACGCTACTCTCCCCATACGCCACCGTCGCTGGAGACTCGGTCTTTCTGCCTACGATGGAAAGGCACGTCTTCGAAGTCGAGAGAGTCGACAATGCGAACGGTACCACGTTCATCCCTCTTCGAGACATCGACCTCACTTCAACTTTGCCTCAGAACCACGGGGTCGTGAGCAGTTACATCGACGAAGATCAGAACGTGTGGTTCACGTCCGTTGCGCTCGCGACAACCTCTACTGCAAGTGACTCCTCCATCCTCGGATACGTCACCCCAGGCGGAACCATTCGGACCATCACACTCGACGGCCAGAGAATCGAAAACTCACTCGCCGTCAGCGGAAAGACAGTCTACCTTAACACCGGACCCCTCGCGTCGGAGACTAACAGGAGCACCACCGGCCACATATTTGCCTTCAGACCGAACGCAAGCGATGGGAAAATCACCGCGCTCTGGAATGAGACATATGACGCCGGCACCTCCGCCAAACCAGGCGGCTTCTCGCAGGGCTCGGGGTCTACCCCGTCCCTGGTCGGAGACAAGTACGTTGCCATCACAGACAATGCCGACGCGCAAGTGAACCTCTTGATCTACCGCCAAGTCGCCTCTTCAGCCGGGAGCCTCGCGGAAGGCGAGCTGCCCCTAGTCTGTAGGGTTCCGCTATTCGAACCCGGCGCCAGCGCGAATGAGAATGCCATGGTCGGGTACTTTGACGGGTCGACGTACAGCGTCATCGTAAACAACAACTACGGAGCCCCGGAACTGCAGGACCTAGGCGCATCGGCGGACGTCAACGGCGAGTTCAACGACTTTGCGCCCCTAGCGCCCGGGATCACGCGGGTGGACATCACGCCTGAGGGCAATTGTGAGGTCCGGTGGGCTTTGGCGGTCCGCTCGACAAGCGTTCTTAGTCTCTCGACTGCGAATGGTCTCGTGTACTCTTACACGCAAGACGAGGAACTTGCTGGCCAGGGATTGTATGTATGGTACTTCACCGCCGTAGACTTCCGGACTGGGGAGGTTGTCTGGCGTATTCGGGCCGGAGCTGGGGGTACGTATAACTACAATGTAGCCCCTACGCAGATGTCTCCCAATGGAGGTATCTACCAAGTTGTTGCGGGAGGAGTTACGTGGTTGAGGGATGATTAAGAGGTGGCTGCAGGCGAGAGACTCAAGGCAGAAAGTTATTCACCTGCAAAGTAGCAATCAAAGCGTGGCCTCCATAGCTATCAACCTGAACACTCACTCAGTAACCTTAAGTCATACGGTTCAAGCCTTCGTCAGAAGGTCACATCGTGGATTCAAGTACTTGACTCTCAGGTGGGTTCTTAGCTACCTACGGCAATCCAGCCTCTTATAGATAGCCTATGGCCAATCTTCAGTATAGACAACGCCCTATTCATCTTGAAGATCCCATCTGCTGTTTTCTCAAGTATGTATCTGCATGTCTCACACCTCACTCGGTGTCTGATACCTATAGCAGTATGTATGAACTGTTCATTGAACAGATGCCTCCGGGTTCTATACCGTCCTAAGCCTCAACTTCCAAACATAGATTGAGACACGAACTGCCCGTACTGTGTGCTTGGCAATCAAGTGCACCAAATGACGTCGTTCATGTGTAGTGCAAGAATGGTGTTTATATTAGTTCGAGGATTCCGGTGCTAAAGTGGAGGTGATCGCGCCTGAACACGAGGCTATGTATATACAAGCTATCAATCGGATTACTTGATGACCCTTGGCATCCGTTATCAGTCGAAATTCCAGATAGTTGATAACCTGAATAAGACTGAGAACAAATGAAGACGGTCTCGGCGAAGCTTCCCTGCGTGCGGATCGCAGAATACACGATGCTTTACACACCCCGTTTACTTGGTAGACTCTGACACTGCGCACAACCCATTGGATAAGTGCTTAGAATTTCCAGCGAAACCCCAGAATCACGATACGTATGCTCTCTAGACCTTTTGGTTGTCTATATTTCGAAATCTAGTGCTGATGTTGTAGATGCACAGCTTGGCAACATGTGATAGCTCATGTTTGGAATCACTAGCAGTTGGAAAGATCAGACTCATTCTCTTTGCTTGATGGTGCTCGGTGTCGGACGCCGAGTTTCATTCCAGAACCGGGGTCCAGCTTGTTACGCCTGGTATCAACTGCTGCGCGTGGTAGGGTAAACAAATTGGTATGTGCAGCTGAGTTACTCTACTATCTAAGACTAGTGACCATACGAGTGTAGTTTTCCTACAATAAAGCATTTGCCGACGCCGAATGCAACAACAGCATCAACAGCAAGAACAAGAAGATCAATGACAGTTGTTGTGCTTGATATATGGTTGGTTCGAATGACTCGTCATTTGGTGACACTCGACTTTCTCCCTCCTGTCCTCGATCGGTCTCCTGCCGAACGCCTTGCTCGTGAGACGGTTTATGATTATTACACAGCGGCATACCCCTATTTCTCTCGTCGCCAAGTATTTTGAAGTGTTTGTGGGGAGGAGGATCTATTGGTATCGTAGTTTGTTTACCATTCAGTCGGCATTGGCATTTTCCACGATATTGTCCCGGTTCAGGAGATACCATTGCATCGCGTTCGGAAAGCGTGGAGTCATGCGTCTCATCTGGCGATGTCGTATAATCTTGAGCAGCTAGTCCATGCCGACGATACTGATATGCCGGGTCGTTTGGCTTTGCTTTGAACTTTTTGCGGCGTGTGTTCTGGCGCATCTTCGTCCGCAAATCCCCCGTGATCAGGTCTCGAATCTCTGTGAGTAACTCTTGTTTTGTCAGAGCAATGTTGTTCTCGTTCCTGATGTCATCAGCAATCTTCAACTTGGCAAGAGCTGCAATTTCTTCCACAGCTCCTAATATCTTCTCCCGGTAAGTCAAACCCCCCACTTCCCGGCACCCCCCTGTTTCTGGCACCCACAAAAACGCGAAAATCCACCACAACGCAATGCCCACCCCCAACCTCCTTTTATCACAACATTTTCAATTCGAGTCCAAATGGGCTCATTTTTTGCACATACCTTCTTCTATATCTAATGCCTCAATATACCGAAGATCAGCTTGTCAGGCTCTCGAGGACATCTCAAACGGCAAGAGTCAAAGAGAGCCTCATTGGAGTATGGGATACCACGATCAACCCTCAACCCTCCAACTACGTCTCCAAGGTGGTCAGACTAGGAAAGTGGCTTTTGCTGACTGGCAGAGGCTGTCTCCTGACCAGGAGAGTAAGCTGGCACAATGGGTTCGCATTCAGGCTTCGCTGGGCCTCGCACCAACGCACCAACAGGTGAAGGAATTCGCAGAGCGAGTTCTGGCTGCTGCTGGGGATACCAAACCATTAGGAAAAGGCTGGATCTATGCCTTCGTGAGAAGGAACCCTATCATTAAGGTTCAGAGAAGTCGTTCCATCGATTCTAGACGCGTTAATGGGGCATCTACTGAGGTCATTAGGAACTGGTTTAAGTTCCTTGCTATCCCTGAGATCAAGGACATCAAACCAGCCAACAGATATAATATGGATGAGACTGGCATCCTCGAGGGTCAGGGAGCTAATGGGTTAGTGCTGGGCATGGCTGAGACGACGTCTGTTCGCAAGAAACAACCTGGGTCGAGGGCATGGGTCTCTATCATTGAGTGTATCTCAGCCTTGGGTAGGGCACTTCGTCCTCTTATCATTTTCAAGGGGAAGACGGTCCAACAACAGTGGTTTCCATTACATCTGGTTCCATACGATGGGTGGGAGTTTACAGCAACAGATAATGGCTGGACTACAGACTTAACTGCCATTGAATGGTTAGAGAAGGTGTTTATCCCACAGACTATGCCCGAGGCTGAGGGCGAGGCTCGACTGTTGATTGTGGATGGGCATGGGAGTCATACGACGACAGACTTCATGTGGAATTGCTATATTAACAATATCCATTTACTGTTCTTACCACCACACTCCTCTCATGTCCTCCAGCCACTTGACCAGTCTGTCTTCAGCCCTGTTAAGTCAGCCTATCGGAAGGAGCTCGGTTACTTGTCTCAATGGAACGACTCTACCATTATAGGTAAAAGGAACTTCCTGGACTGTTACCAGAAGGCTCGACTTGCTGGTCTATCAGTCTCGAACATCAGAAGTGGTTGGAAGTGGACTGGTCTACACCCTGTAGCGATGGTTAAGCCCCTGATGAACCCTATGGTATTACCTGAGCCTTCTGCTAAGCCCACCACACCCAAACCAACCAGTCGGGGCAAAAGCGATGCCATAATGGTCAACAAACTACCCCTGTTGAGCCATGGGATTCTGCTCTGCAGTGGTCTGGTCGACACCCAGGAAGCTGGCAGAGCTCAGCGGTCAACTGCACTTATACACCCAACTCGACAATGATACCAGCACTCAACGGCTGCTGTTCAGGAAGGTGAAAAAAGGCTTCACAGAGCAGGCCTGGCAACTGGCAGCTGCCCAGCAGCAGCTGGCTCACCTGAGGGCTCAAGTTACCAACGCTGCAGTTAGGAAGAGGAAGACTGTTCAGATCGATCCCAACACGAAGTTTGCGAACATCAGGGATATCCATCGGGCTCAAATCGAAGCGGGTGAAAAGGAGGTTATTACGGCTGAATCCAGCGACTCTGAATGCCCTAGTGAGGCTGGCAGTTGTATTGTAGTGGGTGTGGTTGAGGATCAATAGTTAATAGTAATGAGGAGGTTGGGTTGTGATCCCATCGTTTTTGTGGGTGCCAGAAACAGGGGGGTGCCAGGAAGTGGGGGGTTTGACTTACAAATCGGCAAACTCTTGGCTTTGCCAGATCTTTGCCTCATTCGCAGCATATTCAGCCCGTCGTTTTGTCTCCTCTTTTATGTCCGCGGCTATTGATAGATCGTCCGCCCCTTTCTCACTTTTTCCGTCTTTCTCTCCCAAGACACTATCCTTTTCAACGGCATATCGTAAATCACTCGGAACGGTTCTTTCGCTGGCCTTCTCTGAGTTTTCTTCTTTTTGCCATAACTTTTGAGGTTCTTTGCCAACGCGGCGCGGAACATGGGATCTTGTTCTTGTGCGTTCATGTCTATCGGGAGCAGGTATATGAGATTCTCCAGATTTGAACTTTCGTTGGTGAGGGTCGGGGAAATCGTAGTCTGATTCGAAATGATTTTGATCTTCCCTCATATCAGTTGTGTGTTCAGCGAGGGCCTGGTAATCTCTATTGACACTTTCAGAGATGGCAGGCTCACCTTGTCCGTCGATATCAACGTGCCCATGACTCTCCTCGGAAGGAATACTTCTGCAATGACCAGCAGTAGTCTTTGGGGGCGGAGGATAATCCCATACGAAGTCTGGGTACTGATCACCATTATACAACATAACAAATGATCTCCGGTCTCCCCTCCCATACGGGCCCTTCTGTTGCCCACTGTATGCTGCGTTTGACTGCGCCGATCGCATGGGAACATGCTTTACTGAAATGTTCTGAATATTGTGCGAGGTCATTAGAACCTGTTCACCTAGTCCAAGCGTGGACAATCTTCATCAGCTTTCTGGCCAGAAGACTTCATCGTCTTCAAATGACTCACAGAGATATAGAGTGGCATTAATCATTTTTCTTTTGTTGGCCATCTTGATCTGATCTATCAGATGCATGCCGATGGAAGTTGATGAAAAGGACAGGTCGAGCATGCTCACGTGCTTACCCAGCCAAGCTACTCCGGCATGCTAATGTTTTACCTGACGTGAATCCAGGAGTTTTCAGAGAAGCCTTGGCAATAGTAATTTGGCCACTAGCTGGTGGTTTCTTAACCCCTTTGTATAGCTCCCAGATGCAACTTGATTCAGATCGATCAAGATTTAACCAGAAGAAGATTTGCCGCTGAGATGGTCCACTCATTGCAGCCGCTTGACAAAAAAGTTCTGCGCAGGTAATTGGAGAGAATCTGCGACAAGGCCTCCGCTAGAGGAAAGCTGAAAGGCTGAAGCACACCTGTCTCAGGGAGCACACCCACTTCTTTTGGAGACATTGATACATGTAGCGTGAATCCCTGCCATCTTCTCTCCCTTGTCAGCATTCTCTTTTGTGACGAGGCTGGGAGGCATTTGCAGTATCAATATCTTACCCCTTGGGCATCTCAACTGCACTACTTACTTTTGCTTTCCTCAGGGGCTCTTTTGTCGTTTGCTTCTCCGCATCTGAGAGCCTTGCACCAGTTCGTCGCTTTTCGTCCCTGCACAGGAGGCAATAAGGCAGAACAAAAGTGTCGAGGAACCTTCGTACGCTAGCAATTCCAATGGCATCGAGCGACGAACGTTGCCTTTCCACTATCAGTGGGAACAATCATGGGGAAGGGAACCAGTATTTTGCTAGTGGTGGTGGTGATCAAAATCACGGAAACGTGCAGTTGATCATGAATTCTACTACAAATTACCACGCGAACAGTAAGTGGATTGAGTTCAGAGCCGGCTTAATTACGCCAATGCATCATCTCCGTAAGGCAATGCTGATTATAATCAAGCAATGGGTGTCGGACTACCGCCACTTTATGGGTCAATGCCAGGCAGGTTTTGGGAGGAGAGGCCGACTGGTAAGTTATGCTGTTTGGATATATGACAAGAGATGATTTCCAGATAGTAATGCCGTGTTGTTGGTCGCAGTCCAGGATATCAGAGGCTGGCTCGTTCATCTAGCCCATGATAATCATACTCGGATGAGAGCCCATCACGAGAAAACAGAATGTCAGACATTGAGAGGCACCGGCACGTGGCTATTCGAATGTAACGAATATGTTTCTTGGGTCTCTTGGAAGGCAGAACACGGTTCTCGATTTCTATGTTTCCGTGGAATTCGTGAGTGGCGCCCACTATGATTCTTTGGCATACTTTACAACGGCCTGCTGACCGAGTCTTCACGGAAGTCGGCTCTGGCAAAACAATGCTCGCGTAAGTGGCCGTCAAAGATTCTTCAGGATTGATCTGTCACATTGCTAAAACCCTCTTCATCTTCTAGATCTCTAGTTACGGAAAGAATTCGCAGGGAAATTCAGGCAAACCCAGAGAAAAACGTCGCATGCACCTATTTCTACTTCCGTGCAGAAGATCAGAGTTCCACGTCATTGGAAAGTTTCTGGGCTACAATGCTAGCACAGTTGCTGGTATCTGGCAAAGACCACCCGCTTGCGAAAGAGTTGATTGACTGTTTTGAAGGCTCTCTTCGAGGTTCATCTCCACTTTCGGAATCGGCTATATATGCACTTTTCAACTTCCAGGCTCAAACTTATCGCAGAGTCTACCTGATCATTGACGAAATTGAGCATGTGGGAGAGGGTGACATGCGCTACAAAATGCAAGAAGCACTCGTCAACTTACCACGAACTGTCCGCGTCCTTTTCACCACCAATAGCATTTTTCGAGGCCTCGATCTTGGGGAAATACTAGAGCTTTTCATTAAACCTCGACGGCAAGATGTGGAGGCTTATGTGAGACATAGGATCGACAAGGACAAGAACCCTCATCTCAAGGAGGTAGAAGAGGTGATTGTTGAAAACGTGACAGCTATTGCCTGCAATAGCAAGCTGTTAGTCCATTCTCTCAAAATGACTTATAGCATATGCCAAGCTAATCATCATCAGATTTCTCCTCGCAAAGCTGCACATGAACTATCTCGACAAGCAGCGAAATGTTGCACAGCTCAAGGAGGCGTTGAAAGAGCTCCCAAATAATACCATGGGTGTATTCAAGCCTTTGATTCAGCGGATCCTGGATTTGGAAAGACAGGCTGATCAGGAATTCAATAACAAAATGGCGCGTCATGTATTGACCTGGGTTGTCCATGGCAGGCCTGGTCTTACTGCGCTCCAAATCATGGATAGCTTTGCTGTCTGGCAAAGCGGGGGAAACGACTTCGAGTCTCATCGACCTCGAATGGAGGAGATGATCTCTTCATGTGCTGGCTTGGTTACTACCGGATCTGATAATCACACCCTCCAGCTGGTCCACGACTCCGTGAAGGACTTTCTTTTTGAAGAAGGAGTGATACCAACCGAGCCTCCTTGGCAAATGGCTGCTATATGCATCTTGTATCTCTCTATTGAGACCAAAGGACCTTCGAATGAGAAAGACTCGTCGTTGATGCAGTATGCTGCGTGTCATTGGGGACCGCATCTTGCTCATGTGGCGGATGAGGACATCGAAAATGTCGAAGTTGCTGCGATGGAGTTCATGGGGAACCAAACCAGTATTCAACGTTCATTTCTGGCTCTTGGCGGGATTGATATAGGAACGTTTCATGGGTGTTCTGGTCTGCATGCCGCGGTGCACTTCAACCTCCCCTACTGGGCTGAGCGACTTCTTATCGAGAAAAAGGTCAACGTGGACACAACAACATTCGATGACCAGACTGCTCTGCATTGGGCGGTCAGATACGGCCATCTTGATCTAGTCAAGCTGCTATTGAAATACTTCGCAGATCCGGATAAGCTTGATCAGCTCAAAGAATCGCCGCTACATAAGACTCTGGTCAAACCAATCGTCAACGATGTAGCTATAGTTGAGGCACTGGTCAATTCCCGTGCAAGAACCGATCTCAAGAGTCTACGAGGTTACTCCCCAATGAGCGCTGCCATTCGATACGGCCCCACATCGATAGCTAAGATCTTCATCGAGAATCAGGAGGACTTAGAAGCCGAAATCTATGAAGGCTGGACTTCATTGAGGCATGTTTTTTTCTGTGGTGGCGAGGTAATAGGAAAGGTCAATACCGACAATGAAAAGGAAGAGGCGTCCAGGAATATCAAAGAGGCCGTCGAAAGTCATGCCGAATGCTTGACAGACATACTGCTGAGCAAAGGAGTCAACTTGAATCAACCTTTCAATGGTGGATGGGGTCCCCTGCATCATGCTATCCGTTATATGCACGATGACCCTTCGAAGATACACAGACTACTGACGAGATATCCCAATCCGTCTGACCCTAACTTAGCAGATAATGGAGGAACACCACTACAGCTGGCAATTTTCAACGGCGAAGCAAACATCGTCAAGCTCCTTATCCAGCATGGGGCTGACACAAATCAAACCTACGAGGACGGATCAACTCCATTGAATGATGCAATCAAGAAAGGGCATCGGGGCATCGCTACTATTCTCATAGAATCAGGAGCATCGCTCACCACCAGGGACGCTGATGGTCATACTGCTCTTGCTTGCGCAGTGCTGAAGAACGACAAAAGTACAGCTTGGCTTCTTCTTTCCAAAGGAGCTTCAGTGATCTGTCCCATCGAGAATTTGCCGAACCTTTTCTGCTGGTGTCTCGCTTACAACGATCTGTCTTTGGCATGGCTTCTTTGCCAACACGATAAGGTTGCTGATGCTCCAGACGGCCAAAGAATGACACCTCTTCATTGGGCCTCCAAAGATGGCCACCTTGAAGCAGTGAGATTTCTACTGCAGCAAAACGCCACTGTAGACGCGCAAGATCACAAGGGGAAAACTCCACTTATTCTCGCCACACTCATGAGGAAGTTAACAGTCATGGACATCTTACTTGAAAATGGCGCCTCAGCTGAACTTCGAGACAGCCAAGGCATGAATGCGCTACACCACGCTGCAAGACTAGGGTTCCAGGAAGGTGCAGAAGTGTTGTTGCGATGGAGAGGCAACATGAATGTGAATCTGATCGACTCGCAAGGCTTCAATGCTCTACATCATGCAGTAGTCTGCCACAACGCTGACAGCGAGCTCATACATTTTTTAGCTGTCAGCGGTGTGAATTTGAACACGCAAGAGCAGCACGGAAGGACGCCATTGATGCTATGTGCGCAGTTAAACAGGTCGCAAATCGCTCTCCAACTCCTTGTAGAAGGTGCAAAGTTGGGTGCTAAATGTCCTCGAGGATGGGGTGTATGGGAATACTCGAAGCACTACCGTTCAAAGGACATGAAATCGCTCCTCGAATCGGTGGACAAGAACAAATAGATCATTCCAATTTACGTATGTAGCTGAGCAGTCTCTTAATATTGCACTACGTGCCCCTAAACTTAACACGCTGTGTAGTTAAAGATTCCACTGGCCGGACCATTGATTTGAATACTTCCGCCACTAGCGATGTTTTGATTGCCAGCTTCTAGCTTGATATACTGGAGACCCGATGCCATATTGTTCAAAGTGACGAGCTGCCCTGCTGATGTTCCATGCTGGTCAGTCAGGAGACCAATAAACCTCTTTATCTCCTGTTGTGTAGTGGATTTCACGGCGTAGTTGCTCGTCAACACGTCGAGGTCGCCAAGGATCCCGTCGGAGAGAACTTGAAGGTCGTTGCCTTGAGAAACCGTCCTTATAGCCTTCATCCACCGCTTGAATCTCGACATGTGAGGAGTTGAAATTGTTGATTGAAGGATTTCTTCCAGCAATGCCGCCTTGTTTTTACAACTATTCAAGACATCGACCAGGGCTTCGCGGCCGTCGGACGATTCTCGCCCGTCATCGAGCCCGCTTTCTGCGGCTTTGAGGGTGTCAAGAATAAGCGGCAGGCGTAAGTAAACTTGGCGAAATGCGTAGGGTAAGCCGGAGACGTTGTTGGCGGTGTTATAAATATGGATTGCTGCATCGATGATTTGAATTGTGGCCGAAATCAGGCCCAAAACCTCGGCACCCGACATATTGGTTTTAGAGTACTGCTTTGGGAAGAATTTACAATTTTCTAGCCAACTCCGAAGTAGACATACTGTTCTGGGATAGGTAAGAAAAGAGAATGGAATTGGGCTTAGCAAATGGCCGAGTTTTCGACGAGGCGTAGCTATGGGGCGGTGAAGCAGAGACTTGCCACCTCTGCAGGCCAGATGGTGGCATGAAGCAGGCTACTTAGGGCAAGGTGGTTTGAGATTTATGTTCATTGGGGGAATTACCGAGATGCTGCAGGCTGCCTCATGTAGGCATCTCAGAGCTGCAGCTAGGCTGTCCTATGACACGAGCAACTAGGGGTTACTTTTCTAGGTCCGGGGTAACTGCGCCCGCCAGGCAGCTTTCGGCTCTGGCAAGTAGGATGAAGCCTCTCGCACTGAGCGTTGCTTGTCGAGTGCATTCTGCCAACTAGAGAGGCGTTGGGCTTGCGATGCGTGCAGTCTTGCTGCCTTAAGAGCTGACGCGAAAGAGACATAAAGGCAGCTAATTGCCAACTTACCCAAGTGATTAGGATACCAACGCAAAACCTGAATCAACAACAGGAAGAAATTGATCTCTTGTTTCCCCCATCTTGTCGCTTCATACCATTCCGGCTACTACCTTCAGCGAGTTTCACTACCATGGCTTCCCTTGAAGGTACCAGAGACCAAGCCATCGACACGGTGTCCGCTGCCTGTTCTCGCTTCCAAGGGCAAGTGATGGCCAACGCTATGCGTACGGTTGAGCATCCAGGAGAACTCCCCGAGGCATTCCCGGCGGTTGCAAAGAGACTGCCGCTCCTGTCCAAAATATTTTACTCTATCCGAGATCGTCTTCGGGAAAGTGACGACGACTCCCCAATCTCCAACAAAAGCCAGGCATTCCGCCAAATCATTGAGTCCGCGAAAGCGTGCGAAGGGCTTTTGGGGATCATTGAGTCCATGTTCGATGCGGCGACCGACGGGCCAAAGGGAGGTCGATACGTGGCTTTGGTGGAGAAAAATGATGGCCAAAGTGTGGAAAAGCTGATGGAAAGATTGTTGTGTCAGATAAATGAAATCGCCAAACCACCGTGGGTGACTGAAGAGGATGCGAATGAGTCGAGAGCGGCACTGGCAGAAGTAAGAGAGCTACGGAGATCATTGGCGAATGAGCAGGGGGTTCGTATTGTCATGACCAACAACGGTGCTGGAGTCCAGATGCATCACAGTGGGCGAGGCTCGCAGAACTACGGCACTGGAGGTTTTATGGTTACCGGCGAGAATCATGGCGCCACCTACAATTACGGAGGAGCCCAAGGGACAGGTGGCACAAGCAGATAGAAAGCCCGCACGCGACCGGAGGATGGGGAGTTAAGTTGCTGGGACAGCGATGGTTACTTATTCTATGGTATTGATAAGATACTTCGCTTCATACAAGACCGGAGAAGATGAAATGCCCAGCCAAATAATAATCCAAACAGACTTTGCCGCCGTCCAAACCATGAAAGCGTGAAACCGTATCCCTTGCCTATCTGGAGGCTGCCGTCTTTACTATGTTATGAACGCCAATGAAACCATATCCCGGTGAATCCTTACACTCAAACAATCTAAATCAACACAGGAGCCAATCCGAAAGACTGCAATGCTCCTACCGCTGCTGGCTCCTCTCCAATCGATCCCGGGCAGCGTCTACGACGCTTCGGTCCAGCGCCGGCGTGCTTCGCTGCCCGCCCGACACGTCGTCCTCGGCTGTGCCGTCGTCAACCGCGACGAGTTCCCACCTCTTCATTCCGCCGTCCATACCCGGCCATAGATCCGTGGGGATGAACTCGCCAATATCCTGGCGGAATCCTTCGCGCTCCCGTCGATCGTTTTCGACGAGTTTGTCAACGCTGTCCATCGCCTTCTTCCAAATGTTTGTAATCTTGTCCTCTACCATGCGGCGCCGCTCAACCTCCAGGATCAGGTTATCATAAGCGCCCGCGTACTTTTCGTAAAAGTCTCGAAGGTCGTCCATTTCGCCAAGCTTGTTGTAGATGGTGTATGTCTCATCCTCCCACCGCTGGAGGAACTCGGCCTCGCTCGCGATGTAGCTGGCCATACGACCGCCCATCTCTTCCAGCGCAGCGAACCCTTGCAGGGTGCCGAGGAACGCCAATTTGATCTGTCCTGTTTGTCCAGTCATGGCTGAAAATTGCTCTTCCATGGTCTGGAGTGTCTTGTTGATTTCCTGGATGACGCTTTCGACCTCTGATGCATCGCTAACCACAACATTCAGCATGTCCGCCCGGTCTTTCATTGTTATCGGTTCGAGATCGGGCATTTGCGACTCTTGGTCAGCAATTACGCCAGACAAAGATACGCCATCGCCGCCTTGTGACTGCGTCACCTCCGCCGCCCTACGACGAGCAAGAGCCGCGCCGCCCTCTGTTGTCCGCACCGCTGTGACGCACAAGTCAAAGTGTTTCGTCAAGGACGTGAGCAGTTGGGCCATGTCATGTGAACTGTCTACGAGAGAACCGAGAAGCTCGGGTATCGGATCGTATTGTGACGAGTCGGAGGGCGTTCTGGGCAGGGGTGTTGTCGTCATCGTTTTCTTGAGTGCTCGCAGATCATCATCGAAACGAAGGAGGTCGCCGTCGAAGGATGTTTGGATAGCCTGCAGATAAAAGATCTCGTCAGTCACCTTAACTATCATAGATAGTGTGGGGAAGCCAGAGGCAGCAGGATTCCTTTACGCACCTGCAGCTCGCCGAGGCTCTGCTTCAGAGCCTCGACCATGACGTGGACGCTCTTCTCGTCCACGAAGTCCATCAGATTACGGCGCTCTTCGCCCGGCGGCCTGAAGACAGCTTCCACAGTTGTATTCTTGAGCATGGCCATGGTCTCCTGCAGCTTCTCATTGGTTGCATCCATGGTCTTGACCAGGTGCTTGAAGTCGCGCTTGCCGGCATCGTAGGTTCTCTTAAGACCACGGCGAACCTTCATCAACAGCGCCAGCTGCTCAGAGATGGCGCGTCGCAGGAACTGGGTCTCGGCATACAGGACAACAGCCTCCTCATGGGCCTGGCGTGCATCGGTCGCGATTTCGTTTGCTCGCAAGACGGCCGTCATGGACGAGAGCGAGCGTTTGGCGGCGAGCAGGTGTTCCACCAATGTCTCAACCGGCACATGGCCGGCAGCAGCGGAGGCTGATGTGGAGGTTGCATCACGGTGGTCTCTGGAATGTGAAAGGGACGTGGAGTCTCGGCCGGCCGAGGTGGACGAGGCTGGGCTCCGGCTAGACCTATGGGACGGGGAATTGGCCATGTTGAATGGGGGAGAAAGAGAGTAAGTGCTTCACGACAAAAAGGTCAAGAGTTGGAGCGATTCATATTTAAGTGGAAAGGAATAGGATTAAGGTGATGATGGGAAGAGGAAAGCCAAGATGCGAAGCGAAGGTGAGGAAGGGGAGGATGAGGATGTAAAGAGGAACAAGGAATCGATAGAGAGAAGGACGGGAAGACGGTTGGGATGGGACGGGACGGGATAGGACAGGACAGGATGGGATGGTGTAGGCGACGAGGATGATGTCGCGATAAGGTTGGAGCTTCGGTCAGGTGTGTTATCCTTATCGGACCTGGCTTATCTCATCCGCGCACCACCCCGAGAGTGCCTGCCGCCTGCACTGTGAGGGCCTTTTTGGCTTCTGGTGCTGCGCTGCTCTTGGCCGTTCGCGGTGCAGCCTTATGTCACACAGTGACACAGGCCACTAGAGTGGGGACCCCCCCTGGAGCCACAATCATCTGGCTGGTATGATTGGCCGTGACTCACTTTTATGGGTCATTCTGCCTGGGGAGCTCCCAGTAGCTCCTTCTCCAACAGTCTTCAGCGCCATTCCAAGCAGGAGCGATCCAGATGATCTCACACCTTCCCAGCCGATGATCGCTGCGTCCGGAAGACATTTGGAAATCTGGAACCTTCACTGCTCACCTTCGAATGCCATCAATGTCACCTTGCTCACCTTGACTAATCCATTCCTACACCTTGGAACCAGATCAACGTCACAGTAGTTCATCCTCCCACCACGGCTCAACGTTCTAGAACAGCTAGAAGAGGGGCTGTCAAGGCTGGGCCATGCCGAAGCTATCGACTGAAACAACCTTTTCCACCAACATCCGATGAAACCAGATGCTCTCTGACACTTGTATCAATTCCAGTCCAACGTAAAGCCACCAAAGACATAGACCGAAGCTGACGTCGCCAGCTCCGAGCTCTACGGGAATCTCGAAGCTCCCGTCATGCCGATCACTCCCTTGACTCTGGCAGCTGTGGAAAATGATCCAATGGCTTGCTTCAATCTTCGGCAGCTACCCGGCGTCGCTTCATGGCACACCATCCTTTGCGGACAAAGGCTCGAACCTAATGCGGCCTTGAGGTGCCGTCAATTTGAATTCCTGTCATCCGATGCAGCAAAGCAAAAGCTTCATCAGTAATCCTCAGCGAACCTGACGAAATTGACAGTCTTTTCGACCAACGGCGACCAACACTGTGCTCACCTCATCGTCAGCGCGATAATATCAGGCACAGACTTGAGGCGAGTGGCCCATTCAGCCACATGTGGCTCGGCCTCAGCACCTTCGGACTGCGCCATCCCCGGCCGGCCCCCTGCTTTGAGACAGGCACATCCCAGTGTTGACTCGCCTTCCATGAGCCGTGGCCGGGCAACAATCTACTCCTGAACACACGTGTCGTAAATTTTCAGAAAAGACAACCTCACAGGCTCATTCATGCGACATCGATATGTGTGCCGCGCAATCTGTCGGACACTCAATGTTCTCCATGGCCCCGAAATCACCGACTCCGTCCATTTCGCATCTCATCTCGTCTTATCCGATCTTGTCCATCCTCGCGGAATATGTTTCAGCCTTGGACCTTCTTCACATAGCTCAGACGAACCGTAACCACCACGCCCACATCCTTGGTTCCCGTACAATATTCCAGAAGCTGAAAAGCCTCTGTCTCTGCGATGGCCGCGGCTTAGTGCAACGCCAAAACTTTAGCGGACGCTACTGTCCCAACTACTGGACTCTTCTCTGCGGCCTCCCTCCCATGGTTGTCGGGGACGAGGAAATCGAAGTCAAGCTGTACAACATCAAATGCGACGAGGCTGGAGCTCTGCCCTGCCGGAGATGTGGAATCAACGTCTGTGAGGAGTGCAGGTACTATGATCGGCTTCTGTCCGTGGAGGAAAGCTATGTCGAGCCGCGCTACAACTGGCGCCCTCTCAACATCATGTGTCTTTGCCGCGATTGTGACTTCCAGCTCGAAGATGATAATCGGAAGCTACAACTCAGCGACACATGCGATTGCAATCTATGTCTGAGGTGGCTTTGTACCAAATGTGAAGACGCGCAGAGAAAAGAGACCACAGCGTATTACGACACGCGAACTCAGGAAGCGTCGGGCCAGAACAATGTGCTCAACCAACCAGAGGAATGGGGTCCCGATGAAGCCTCGGAGACCAAGCAACTCGAGATATATGGCAAATGGCGCAATGTGAGTTCCCGTCAATTGAGCAACGTGAGTAGTTGCTTTACACCTGCTAACAGCTCTACCGTCAGTTCTATTGCCCTTGCGGTGCTGGCGTTGCGCAAGAGACCGTCCCAAGATGCACTTGGTGCAAGCGCCGTGTCAAGAGCCAGGACGAATGGTTAGATGAAAGAAACCAGCTTGCCCGACTTGATAAACCGGGAGGTTCGTTCTATGTATGTTCAAATCTACGTGTGGGGGGTTGGAAGCACCCACTTACAGTTCTTGCAGAACCCGGACCACCCACCCTTCGTCATGGATACCAGCTATAACTATCCTACTCCATATCCGAGGCTGGGGTACATTCGGCCTGGGGACGACGTCTCGTGATGATCTTCATCTTTTTGCCGAGGTTGCTCTTCCGTTAGAGCACACTGCTCGAGACAATTATGCCCGAGTCGTGTGTGGCCGCCCTCCCGTCATCGGTGGTAATCCATGGCATAGTCGCGACAGACATGACACGAGAGATTTCACTCCAGAACCCATACACCACGCCACTCGGACGAACCAACAGGGGATCACAACCTTCTTCCATCTGAAATAGACCAGCATGGACGAAGGACCAATCGGACCGGCTCGCTTATACGTCTTGCTTGCACACTCGTCGTGAGTAGGACGTTCTCACAACCGGTGTTTTCCCGATGGCTACCACCCCACCGCGTTCATCGACGATGGTCGAAGAGTATTGTGTGAATTGATACTTACAAACCGACTTCGGACACGAGTTTACCAACTTCATTGCCGAAGAGCTTCCCGTCCCAGGACTCAAACCAATCCAGAAGTGGAATTCGACCAGTCCCAATCTTACGACGTTCCCCGCATTCTCCCACATGCCGGCATCGCATCGCGCTGGAGATGCGGAGGTGACATGGGAATACTCTCCGATATTGCTACCTATAATACCTGCCATCTACAACAACCCCGGTCGTTCCATTCTCCATTCTCCATTCCCCACGATTTCCCCGCGCGCCGAAGAAAAATACCGCCGAAGAGCCTCCAGGCTGCATGGAATATCTCCAGACGAACTACTCGTGGCCTGGCTTCGCATCCTTAGCTGGTTGAACCTGCGATGGGACTACCAAAACTAGGCAAACTAGCCACCAACGGCCATCCACACCTTTCTCCCCCGCACCGTTGAGAGATGGCACCAACAACGTGGACCGACATGGAGTTTTTCCCGACTTGGGGAGACATGGGGTTTCCCCACAGACTACTACCGTAAAAAGCTTGCCCAAGCGGCCGGCGTCGCATCGTTGATGAGATCATCATTGTGTCTTTTAACTGCTGGAAGACGGATTCCGAGTGGAGGTGGATCTGGCTGCGGCGAAAAGTTGGATGTGATCATGGGAACACCGTCGACTAGGGAGAAGGGCCGACGGCGTGCACACTACTGCGCAGCGGTGCCGGGGACTAGATGTCGGCCGTCGACTCATCTCAGTCCGAGGAGACGTTGGACAGATGACGAGGGAAAAGTCGCGACGCGTGGGAAAGTTCTTAAGTGGTTGAATTTCCTGCGGACGGGAACCATGGAGAAGTGAGCCTGCAAGCTCAAGCTGTGCTCTTCAATTGGGCCCTCAACATGGTCAACAACTTGATTTCAACGTTGGCGACGGCCCTTGCTGGCCTCACGCTCTGCGCCGCTCAAGATAGCTATACCAATGAGACAGATCCTTACTATGGCCAAAGTCCAGCTGTCTACCCCACACGTCAGTACCGAGTTCTCTCTTGACCTGAGCATACCGTGACACGAACCTAACCAAGAACCAAATAGCCGTGGGAAACGGAACGACCAATGAGAAATGGGCCACAGCGTACCAGCGCGCAAAGTCCCTCGCCGCTCAGATGACAGTCGAGGAACTCGCAAACTTCACCCACGGCTGGGGTGGCCTCTGCACCGGCAACACAGGCTCCGTTCCTCGTCTCGGCATCGAGCCCATCTGCCTCCAAGACGGCCCCGATGGCGTCCGCGCGCAGGAATTTGTCTCGGCGTTCCCCTCCGGCATCCACCTCGGCGCGACGTGGGACAGGAACCTCTCGTATGCCTACGGCGAGGCCCTGGGCGCCGAGTTCCGCGGCAAGGGTATCAATGTCGGCCTTGGACCCGTCGGCGGACCCCTGGGTCGTATTGCGCGCGGCGGCAGAAACTGGGAGGGTCTGAGTAATGATCCGTACCTGTCGTCTGTTGGCGTCGGTGGTATTACCAAGGGCATGCAGGACGCTGGAACCATTGCGTGCCCGAAGCACTGGATTCTCAACGAGCAGGAGTACCGCCGGAACCCAAGTGTTGAGGAAGGAGAGGCCGGATCATCCAATGTTGACGATAGGACGTTGCATGAGCTCTATGTTTTCCCGTTCATGGATGCGTTGAAGGAGGGCGCTGCGTCGGTTATGTGCTCTTACAACCGCGCCAACAACTCGTACGGCTGCCAGAACTCCAAGTTGCTCAATGGAGTTCTCAAGACTGAGCTCGGGTTTGAAGGGTTCGTTGTCAGCGATTGTAAGTTTCTCTTCCCTTCTGTTCTGGGTCTCCATCGCCGTTGCTTACAATTACCAAAGGGGGCGCACAACACGCCGGCGTGGCAACCGCAAACGCAGGTCTCGACCTGGTCATGCCGAACGAAGCTTTCTGGGGCGCATCCCTCGTCGAGGCAGTCAACAACGGCAGTGTCACCCGCGAGCGCGTCGAGGACATGACGACAAGGATCCTCGCGGCATGGTATTACATCGGTCAGGACAGCGACGACTACCCCGCTGTCGGCGCCTACTCGAACCTTCAGAAGCACGCGCCCGTCGACGTGCAGAATGGTCACAAGGCAATCATTCGCGAGATCGGCGCCGCCGGTACAGTGCTCGTGAAGAACGTCAATGGCACGTTGCCGTTCAAGAACCCTAAGTTCTTGACGGTGTACGGTTACGATGCTACCTTGCCTCCCACACCGTGGGGCAGCACGAGCTATGGCCCGTCATGGGGTACCGTACTGGCGGATACCTTCAATGGGACATTGCTTTCTGGCGGCGGCTCCGGAACGACGACGCCGCCGTATGTTATTACTCCTTTCCAGGCCATCCAGGACCGTGTTATTGCGGACGGCGGGGTGGTCAAGTGGGATTTCTACTCTGAGAACCCGCAGCCCAACTACGTCAACTCGGAGGCATGTCTGGTCTTTATCAACGCGTGGGCTTCGGAAGGGTATGACCGACCCAGCCTGACGGACGAATTCAGCGATAACTTGGTCAACAACGTCGCGGCCAACTGCTCCAACACGATTGTCGTGCTGCACTCTGCCGGTTAGTCTTGTGCTTACTGTCTAGCATAGCCATCGCTAACCAAAACTTCCTACAGGAACCCGCGTTGTCGAAGCCTGGGCAGACCACCCCAACGTGACAGCAATCCTCTTCGCCGGCCTACCCGGGCAGGAATCGGGCAACTCCCTCGTCGACATCCTCTACGGCGACGTCAATCCCAGCGGTAGACTCCCCTACACCGTCGCCCGCGCCGAGTCAGACTACGGAAACCTCCTCAACTCGACCGTCGAAGCAGGCCCGTTCCCACAGGACGATTTCACCGAGGGCCTGTTCATCGATTACCGCGCCTTCGACCGCGACGGCATCTCGCCTCGCTACGAATTCGGCTTCGGGCTATCGTATACTACCTTTGGCTACTCTTCCCTCTCCGCGAGTCCCGCGTCGGGCGTGAGCGCCGGCGTGCCGGATCCGAGCGTCGCGATCGTGCAGGGCGGACACCCCGCCCTCTGGGAGGAAGTCGTCTCCGTGAGCGTGACGGTGCAGAATACGGGCGGCGTGGGCGGTCACGAGGTCGCGCAGCTGTATGTTGGTATTCCCGTCGAGGGCACGCCCGCGAAGCAGTTGAGGGGCTTTGAGAGGGTGTATGTCGAGGCAGGCGGGAGCGCGACGGTGGAGTTTGCGCTGACGAGGCGGGATCTGAGCTTTTGGGATGTGAGTGCGCAGCAGTGGCGGTTGAGTGAGGGTGAGTACGGTGTTTGGGTTGGGGCTAGTAGTCGGGATTTGAGGGTGAATGGGACATTTACTATTTGAGTGAGAGTGGATAAGATGTTGGAGGTTCGTTCGTTACTTTACTCTAATGGTATCACGGGGTGCAGAAGGGTAGCTCGAGGTAGTTGTAATGATGATGATGATAATCAATGTGGCCGCATATTGCGTTCCAATACATACACTGCCAGGAACGAGAAATCCATACCTCTCTCACAGACAATAGCTTTTTGCAATAATTGCACAGGACTTTGGTTGAAGTCGTTCATTAAGAAATAGAGGGGAGATATTAGACTTCGTGCATACATACCATTCTCCAAAGTGCCGGGTCGCAGTCGCGGAATCGCAGGCCATCCCCGAAAAGCTTCATTCGAACTCTGTACTTACCCACCCAACTGGACACCACCAACCGTGCTATTGCACACCTCTCCACGAGATTCCAAAACTAAATGAAGGAACTACGTTGAAATCATCAAAGATGGGAGGGGCCTAAGATAATTCATGGTGGAATGCAAAAAGTTTACCAGCGTGATGCATCCGCCGGTAATCGAAACCGGGTCCCTTGCTGATCCGAGGAATGGAAGGCAAGGATGATAACCACTACACTACAGATGCTGGTTGTTAAAATCTGGGGCCTCTAGCTTGTTCTTGAAGGCTTGACTTTGTGGTCAGAGCTTCGCAAGGTGGGTCCCAGCGGCGGTGGACCGCGGATTGCCGAGCGGCCAATCAGATAGCCGCATCTACAGAGCTCCCATTCCCTTCCGGCTCAGCCAACGAGCTCACCGGAAGGTTTGTTCCTCCCACCAGGCAAATAACGTAGCCAAAACATCAAGTCTTCCCGAGTCAACAGCACAGCCAACGGCGAAAAAAGATGCACTTGTGCTGCACGATTTGGACTTCGGCATATTAAGCTTATTCGCGACTCCGCTCCACGAATCCTCCACTCCCTCTACCTTACCTCTAGCTTGATTCGGCAACCATGTCGTCTCAACGAGGCAGCGCGGGCTGGTGATAGTAAGAGTGCGAGAACCTCGCAACAGAAAGCTTCACATCATTTGCCCGACATTGAATCCAGTCCGTGCTGTCAGTTGACGGGCAACGGTGAAGGGATCCGAGGCTGGGAAGTCAGTGCGAATGTGCGAGGTCGCGACAACGTGGCTGGGACTGGGAAGCCGGTCGATCTTTGTCCAACCTCTAGGGGTACCACGTCAACGAGCAAGGACTGTCGATCTTTTGACGAGCGATTCATTGCTTTCGCACGTGGACAGCAAGATATTCGCAAACCTCGCTGTATCGATTCTTCCCATCCTTGTCGTCTTTTCAAGTCCGTTGGGGTCTCGGAGCATTCTATGTCCGCTAGATACGGGACGCTTGAAAGGGAGGGACACGGGAAGAAGCAAGAAACAGGGAGGATATGCTGACGCCCTGACATGACCTCGAATGCTACCCTTCACTCGCCTTGACAATGGTAAAGATATCTCCAAACTCAGCGTGCTTCCTCCTTGGACGGCAGACGCTCTGATGGGCATTGACGCAAGATGTGATAGAGAAGGGCCGGTTGAGATGTTCTCGACAACAGTTGCCGCTCAACAACAAATCCAAATTGACAATCTCGCCCCAACTCCATTATTGCCCAAATCGCTTTGCGGAAAACGAGCCGCTTAGCCTCCCACCGGCTGAAGAATCACTCCTACGCCATCTCCGTCATGTTGAGTCGCCCGCCCGCTGTCAGTCTCACAACTTACCTCGGTAGCTTCCATCACTTCGCGCGTAACGCATCATCTCGCAGTCTCAGTCTTGCATGAGATCCCGAACCACCCCTCTCGACGGAGGACATTCACGGCCGAACCAAACCTGCATGGCAGACTACGGAGTACAGAACTGCAGTGAGTGCAGTGCGGGGAAGACCCGCCAATTCAAGATTCAGTGTTGCATTGCAGCGCTCACGGCGGAGAGTGAGGCAAGCACTAACCAAAGACTAGTGAGCCGCCATCACTGAAAGAGGAGTGCTAATAGTCTCGGCAGATTGCTAGAGCACTGCTGTATGCGACAATGATCGTCATCGCAGCCACCTCCGAAAAGTTGAAGCCGCCTGCGAACGCCGTTCCGCACGTCTAATGTCGTCCTCGAGGTCGTTGAACTGCTGGCGTTGAGAGCATGGGATACCCTGTCCGGCGAAGGGCCATCCCGCGCAGTCTAGTGAACTGTAAATTTTCCCCAGTCCAAGGGGGCAAAACAGCAACCTCAAGACGTCCTCCACGACCTGCGAGCATTCGGACGACAGGGATCCAAAAGTTGAGATGAGGACTGTGCAAGGAATGGCCCGATTGAGGGACTGCTATTTCTGCATCAGATGATCTGTGGTGCTCAACACGAGCGCAGCCCCGAAGTAACACAACATCGACAGCTTCTCGATCCGATATTCTTCTTCCAGATGGACCAATCTGATGTTCTCCTATCAGCTTTCTTCTCTCACTGGCTTCTTCGCTTCAGGAGGAAAAAACTCAATATCTTACCAACCTTTCGTGCCTGGCCTGATACTTGAGGTTCTCGTATCCCTTGATAAACCTTCACCGCTTCTTAAAGCCCCTTGATCTGGTTTGGAATTCGCAGATATCTACAATGTCGTCACTGTCCTTTGTCTCTCTCAAAAGACAACTCAAAAGCTTGACTCGATCAAGCACGAAAGGGAGGCGCCAGTAATGTCTTGGCGGGCCGAGCCAGTGACCCCGCGCCGAGAAGGCCCGGAACAGTGTCCGGGTTATCGACTAATTCTAAGCGCAGAGGCGCGGACATGGATCAGGGTGGCATTCTTCGTCATGCCGAGTCCCTGGAGATTAATTGCCCACTAGCTGACTCCCGAAAGAGATCACCACCATGTGCGCCTATTTGTTTCTCGTCGATCGTGGCTTATAAGAGCTGGCGATCCCTCGTGGGATGGGTATACAGATCTGCAAGTAATTACGGATACCTCGGCGTCGACGAATCTCTCAAGGTGTGTATTATCCCCAAGTTTTCCATCGTCCTCAAGATTTCCCATGTCTAACTCGACCTACAACTCTAGTCAAGCCGCTTTCCACACAAGACATCGCCATGAGGTTAACAAATCTCTTCGGCCTCCTGGCCGCTTCAACAAGTCTCGTCGCCGCTGTCGACCTGACCGGCTATGAGTTCATCGTGGTCGGCTCCGGCGCCGGCGGCGGTGTCTTGGCCGCCCGTCTCGCCCTCGCCGGCCGCAAGACCCTTCTCATCGAAGCCGGCGACGACCAGGGAGCCAACGAGAACTACACTGTCCCAGCCTACCAAGCGAAGTCCACCGAAGATGATGCCATGGCATGGGATTTCTTCGTTCGTCACTACGCCGACGAGGCAAGGCAAGCTCGCGACTTCAAGACCACATACGAGACACCAGGCGGCGGCGAGTACACCGGCCTCAACCCGCCGTCCGGCTCCAAGATGAAGGGAACTCTGTACCCTCGCTCTGGCACCCTCGGAGGCTGCACCGCCCACAATGCACTCATTGCTGTCTACCCTCACCGCTCCGACTTTGACTACATCGCCAGCCTCACCGGTGATTCATCCTGGTCAGCAGACAACATGCGAAACTACTTCATCCGCATGGAGAACAACCGTTATCTCCTTCCCGGTGTCCCAGGCCACGGATACAATGGCTGGTACAGCACCGAGACAGCGCCTCTCAACCTTGCTCTGCTTGACCCTCAACTCCTGAGCCTTGTTACCGGAGGCGCATTCGCCCTCGGAAACGAGACAAACTTGGTCTTTAACATCGCCACCCTGCTCGCTGGCGATGGTAACAACGTAGCCGCCAGCCGCGACACGACGCCAGGCTTCTACCAGATCCCCATCTCCTCCAACGACGCCCACCGTGTCGGCTCCCGCGAGTTCATCGTCGCCGTCCGCGACGCCAAGACCATCACCGGCGCGAAGCGTTACCCCCTCGACGTCCGGACGAGCTGCCACGTAACCAAGGTTCTCTTCGACAACTCCTCCCCGCCCAAAGCGACGGGCGTAGAGTTCCTCGACGGAAAATACCTATACCGCGCAAGTCCCCGCTCTCGCAACGCCGGCGCTGGTACCCGCGGCACAGCAACGGCCTCCCGCGAAGTCATCATCGCCGGCGGCGCCTACAACTCCCCGCAGATCCTTAAGCTCAGTGGCATCGGCCCGGCCGCCGAGCTGCGCAAGTTCAACATCCCCGTCGTCAAAGACCTCCCCGGCGTCGGCACGAACCTGCAAGATCACTACGAAATCGCCGTCCAGGGTCGCACGCCCGCCGACTTTAGCGCTCTTAACGGTTGCACCTTCGGCTTCAACGGTCAATCCGACCCGTGCCTCGCGCGCTGGAACACCCCTATCCTCGGTGACCGCGGCATCTACGAGTCCTCAGGCTTCGCGGCGACAATGTTCTACAAGAGCAGCACCACCGAGCGAAACGAGTGGGACGTGTTCGCGTTCGGTGGACCCGTCAACTTTAGGGGCTACTTCCCCGGCTACAGCGTGAACGCGACCATTGAGCACGACTGGTTCACCTGGGCGATTCTCAAGTCGCACCCGCGTAACACGGCCGGCTCGGTGACGCTGCGCACGGCTGATCCGCTCGATGTGCCGGATATTCTCTACAACTACTTTGATACCGGCTCCGGCAACGCTGAGGCGGATTTGCAGGCTATGACGGAGACCGTGAAGCTCACTCGCGATGCGTTCAAGCGCCAGTTGGTGCCCATCAGGGAGGAGTTGCCTGGTGCGGGCGTCCAGGGTGACGCGGCTGTGAAGCAGTACATCAAGGATACGGCGTGGGGTCACCACGCATCGTCGACGTGTCCTATCGGTGCTGATAATGATCCGATGGCTGTGCTCGACTCCAGCTTCAGGGTGCGTGGTGTCAATGGCTTGAGGGTCGTTGATGCATCGGTGTATCCTCGCATTCCTGGCACGTTCACCGCTGTGTCTACGTACATGGTCGGTGAGAAAGCTGCTGATGTGATCTTGAGCCAGAATCAGTAGATGATGAGGAGGTGGGAAGCGGATCTGGGAGGCCTTTTGTTGATATCAGCGTGCTTTTGTGTTTCAGGTAGCAGCAATGCGCTTAATATGATTAATCTCTCTACTTGCCTTTTCTTAAGACACAGATTCCGTGAAAGTGATTGATCTATACCGAAGTCAACCTGATACAATTGTAGGGATCTTAACACGCTCTTCAGTGGTAGTGGTCCTGACTTCAATGGCGCCTCTCGTCTGACTGATTTGGAACCGCAACAGCTTCAGGTAATAGTCCACTCTGCCAGAGACCGCATACTTTACCCGAGCTCTAAGGATTTAGGAAATGCTTGTTCGCATTCCGCCATTTGGTATGAGTCTCCTCATTGTTTCTACCTCACTTCTGCCAAATTTAATCATCCGTGAATGCGAGGGCAATATCTCCTCGCCCAACGGCCCCACCTAAGCTTGTCTCTTCAGGCCCGTCAATCAAGAAAGTCATGGCTAGTTTCACTTTGAGAGGGCCACTCAAGAGAATGAGCCTAGAGCCTATGAGGCCTCTGAAGACCTGCTCACTAAGATATCAGAGAAGGCAGACTGACTGTCTGCGTTCACCAAAGCTATTCCTTTCTTCCAAAACCGTACCATTTTGATTTCACTGGCAAGGCTGACTGAGTCCACGATGGAACCGCATGAGATCTGATCCGGAGGAGCGTCATTTCAGTCCTGGCCGCCAATCCTTTGGAACCGTTCGCGAGGGTACAGTGATTACACGTAGCCATGCCAATGCGTTCAGATCGATTTACTTCCTCTGAAACCACGTATCGGCATGGCGTCGTAGTCCGTCTTTTCCAATTCACCAGGCCTGCTGAAACGCATATACGGCGCTACGCAGAGTGTTGCTCCCAGAGTCAATCCGCGCTCTGCAACCTTTCTGCGCAATAAACAAGTCGAGCCCATGGTCTCATGATAATCACCGATTATGACTGGAGCTCATCCTCGCTTACCAATGCTGGAAGTCATCGACCTGGTAGCTCAATGCCAGATTCTCTAGATGCACCTAACGAATGACTCCACAAGAAATACTCGTGGAGCTTAGCGATGGGTGGAAAATCGCCTTGCCAGCATTTCCCCTCCAAATCTCATGCGGGATGCGAAGTATTCTTCGTACATGTATCGTCCATTCGGCTTCTTGCAACTAGATGTGTTACTAAACTTGTGTCACTACATAAAGATCGATTCCAAGACCATGGACACATAAGTCCGTGATTATCCTTTGCGAGCGACTTCTCTTAACGCCGAGGTTTGACTTGCCGGCCGACCTGCCGGCCGGGCAACTCTAAAGCAATTGGCTGCTTCGGCTAGATCCATCTCAAAGTTGGCTTGGCGAGCGTGATATGAACCTTGGCAGTGCACCGGCAACTTATTATTTATGGATATAGAACCGGGGGTGGGTCGCGGATCGGTCCAGTTGCCGATAATCCACGACTCATTGGAGTTGGCTTGCCATTTATTCTTCATTTTGGCAGGAAGTCCCACTATATGGCCATCAGCCATCTCCGTGGCGCTCCGTGGCTTTACAGTGTTAGTCATTCCATCGTGACACTTCGGTCCGAGTCCTTCTAGACTTCTGTACGTCATCCCAGTAAGTACCTTGCCACAGGATCTCGTACTACGACTCCGACTCGTGCTAGGAGGGTTATTTGAGTCTGCAAAGATATACACACATGTCATTAGGATGTCGAAACTGACCACTACAATATGAACGGTGGGATACGCATCAAATCCAGAATGTTGCAAACCACGAGTGTCCAGTATGTTTATGATTGGAATTCACCGATGCTGCATGTTTATCTTCGCCGCCCTGTTTCGTAGCAATTGCATCATAGTCACAAAAGAGCCTTAGCGGCACGTCTCTTACACCGGGAAAGTGCTAATCGAAAAGACCTCAATAGCTTGATGTATGCCATCTTCAAATATGTCATTGAGATAAATTAAGTAGATAGCCAAATCGCCAACCTAGGGTTCGAGTACATCTGTAGGTTTAGTGGAGAGCCAGTGATCTGTGTAAAGCTACAGAAGTTAAAGCTGCATAATCGAGTTTCACGTGTTAACCGAAGTCTGAGCGCAATGAGATGACAGCCATCTCGTGCGTTGATACTGCCCGCCTTGAACCGGAATATGCTTAATTCGTGAGTAAATGACTCAACTGGAAAGCACCTAAGTCACCGGCAATTAAAAAAGGTTTCTACTGATCGATCTCATTGGATATTCTTCAGAAACAACATAATAACGTTTGAGATTCTACATGATCTTGAACTTTAGTGATATTTTCAGCTTCGAGAACAACGACGCTGAAGTGACGCCTGAGGTCGCGGACTACTCCGTGTCGGCTCCATGAAAAGCGGGGTTATTATTATTGGGCCTTCGGCCTACGGGTAGCTCCTTTAGAACAGGCGAAAAGATCCAACAGGGTAATCTTTCCCTCTCCGCACCGCCACATCCTAGCCCGAAAGAGGAAATGTAATCCGCCAAACTCCGCGTACATTTTCCTACGCGAAGTCCACATCTCTACGAATAGCCGTACGTGTATCCGTAACCATCAGACCTATTGTAACAACCCCTGGTCCAGACGCCTGTCTGAGTATGTGCAGCTTGATGACTTTTGTCCATCTCGGCTCGAGTACGACAACATCAACTTGCCTCAAGACAGCATCGCGGGCATGTTGAGGGATGTCTGAGCATGATTCGCCCGGCGAGATATGGAAGAGTCCTCTGCCGTCGCTCCTAGACATCAGCGTTGCGAGGCGGGCTGGCCAAAGAGGCCTAGATGAAGATATAGTCGCAAAGTAAGTCTGAAGCGTTGCGTTACGTTTCAAGTATTGTTGACGTAGTGATACAGAGACAGTCAGGATGACTCTTTCCAATCCATCTCAATTGCCCCGTCGTTGAGTCAACATGGCGTCGGAAGACCATTCGAAGACACGGAAAAAGCGAGGTTATTCATGCACTACATTCATGATCTCTCTACATGGGTAAGTAATCGCCTTGAAAGTACATGGACTGAGACATAGTGATCGAGAGCTAATGTTGAGAATTGTACAGGTAGATGTGAGCGATAAACGTCGACATTTCGGAACAGAAGTGCCCAAAAGAGCATGTCATTCACCCCTGCTTGCATACGCGATCATAGCATTGGCATCCCGAAGCCTCTGCTCCATCAAAGGAACCGATGACTCCAAACCTTCTACCTACTACAGCCACGCCTTGCAAATCTTGATCCCGATCCTGGGCAGCTCTACAGAGGCCCTTAACGAAGAAGTTCTGGCGGCGATCGTAATATTGAGACAATACGAAGAAATGACTGGTGAGAGTTGCCAACTTTGGTTACGATTGTCTTTTGGAAACTGACTTTATTTGTCAAGATACTGACTTTGGCGTTCACTTATCCGGCAGCTCTAAGCTTCTCAACTCCATGTTCAGCCTCGCCAGCAAAGGTGGACTGGGAGAAGCAGCAAGCTGGATCGTATTGCGCCAGGACTATTGGGTTGCTCTGGTCAAGTCTCAACCTCTGAGCATCAACTTGGACAGCTATAAAGGCTCAAGCTCCTTCGTCGTTTCTGACCCCGAGTGCCTCGCCAACCGCGCCGTCTTTTTGTGCGCGCAAGCCTGCGCCTACGCATTTCAGCCAACCATGGTCAGAGACCTCGATCGATGGAATAAACTCAATCAGGAGCTGGGAAACTGGCTCGTCTCAAACCCTTGGCATGCGGATCCTCTTTGGGTAGACCCGCCGCATGACACCAGTGCCAATGGATCTGCTTTCCCAACAGTGTGGATGACGCATCCTGCGCATGGTGAGACTCAATATTGACAGTCCGCCTTATTTCTTTGTTGAAGCTAACAACTTGTGCATTCAGTGGTGGGATACCAACATTACAGTCTTGCACGCATGATCTTACACATTTTCAACCCATACCTAAGCAAACCGAGTCTTGATACCTTTAGGCGGAGAAGGGAGTCAGAGGTGAGTCGGGAGTTCTGAGCCTTTGGTATCAACCTACCATCAGACTAACACCGCTCAGCAAGCAGTTCTGGACAACTTTCGTCTGCTTCTAGGCCTCGCGATTAGCAATCCGCTGGTAGTAAACGCCAGCTTTACAGCTGCCCATGCATTGAGAGCTTGTAAGCGCCCCTGCCTGATACTGACATGAATGAGCATATGATTAACTAGTGCGTCCGTGTTCGCATTTACAGGTGGCATATATCTCACGGACCCCAAAGAGCAACGCGAAAGCCTAGATTTGCTCGACAAGATACATCAACGGACTGGATGGCGCACGAAGGACTTGGAGGAGAAACTGAACTCTCAGTGGTCACAAGATAGTTGCAACAGTGCCTTTGGGCATCTTTTTGCAGAGGCTCGGAAGTGATAAAACCGAAAGTCTCCTCGGCCTTGCTTGTCTCTATCACATTTTCCCGGGGAGCAGAAGCCTTGAGCCAATGTCTAGGACGGACGTTAGGCTTCGGTAGAGTCAATGCTGCCTGCGGGCGATGTCTGTTTCCTGGCAAGGAATCATAGTCTATAAATCAAAACCTAGCTTTGAATCTACCTTTATCCCGAAGTTTGTGCGTATGGGTCTACATACCCTTTTGTATAAAGCAGTCAACCGGCAGTGAGCAGACTGGTACATCATCTTTAGTAAACAGCAACTGATCAAATACTTTCTATTTCATTAAGCAATAGAGAACTTTCTATCTGTCCCCCATAACATTGTCTACAACTTCGCCTGCTTCTCAAGGCGCCGGCCAATCTCGTCGAAGTACAACTTCTTGCCTGACTCCAGTGCCTCTTGCAGGTAAGACCCAATCTGGACAGCCTTGACAGCGTTGGTCAACTTGAGAGGCAACTTGGTGTTGTCAAGTGCAGCGGCAGTGAATTCGTTTGCCTCCTGGACAAAGGCATACTCGAAGCGACCGTAGTAATGCGCGGGAACCTCCCTTGTAATACCCTGGGGCCCATAGTAGTTGACAAAGTTGGCTTGGGGGTTTCCATTGACTGTGAGCTTGCCGCCGGTGCCAATGAGCTCTGTGGTATCCTCTTGTCCGTGCGCCATCATACGCGAGTTGTAGAAGTAGGCGATCTTGCCGCCCCAGAACTCAACAATGCCGACGGCATTATCGCAATCGCCGTGCTCCTTAAGTTCGGGAGAAACAGCTGTGATGCCGGATGCTGATACCGACTTGACTTGGGAGTCCTCGCCAAAGAACCATAGTGACAGGTCAATGTCGTGGACTATTGTTGTTGTTAGCAGACGGATCCAATCACGTTTCAATGATCGGGAAGACACTGACCACTCATGTCGACAAAACAGCCGCCGTTCAGGGCCGCATACTTGACAAAGAAGCCACTAGGATCATGCTTGTCACATGTTTGAGATCTGATAACGGAAGGTCTGCCGATCAAGCCCGTCTCGATTTTCTCAAAGGCGTCTCTGTATGATGAGTCGAAACGGCGGGAGAAGCCGCACATGACCTTGAGATGAGGCTTGTGCTGGGCAGCAGTGACGACCTCCATGGACTATGGAGTGTAAGCAATGAGTTCAAAAGATTGATGGTCGGAAGCTACTGACTTTGGCCAGGTCGAGAGAGATGGGCTTCTCGCATAGGACATGAAGATCCTTGTTGATGGCCTTGATAGCCTGGTCGGCATGCACCTTGGTAACGGTGGCAATGACGACGGCTTGGAGGCCCTCGTGAGTGAGCATCTCATCGTAGTCAGTGTAGAGAGTGACTCCGTGAGGCTCCAGCTCCTGTCGTGCCCAAACAAGCTCGTTCTCATCCGGTGTGAAGGCTGCAACGAGCTGCGCGCGGGGGGTGCGGTGCAAGAAGTTGATGGCATGACGCTTGCCCATGCGGCCGAGGCCAGACGCAGCGATTCTGAGTTTCTGGACCATTTTTGTGTATGTGATTCGAGGATAGACAAGCAAGTTTGCTCAGGCGCCTTTGAAGGGGTATGATTGCAGGTGAATCAACAAGATGGATGGAGAAGGAAGACTGGCATGCTGGAACCATCTGGCAGACCAGGCACGAGCTCCTCATCTTATATATGCGAGCAAGACGCTGGCATGCACGAATATGGAGCTTCTACGGTGATTATCTGAACAAGACGTACTCACGATGATACTGAATACGGTTGGAACTTCCTTCCTACCGGTGTTCTGCGGCATTCGGGAAACTGATAGCGCAAGATGCCATGGCTAGAGGCTGAAGCTGTTGCAAACAACATCGAGAAAGGTTGGCTGAACAGGCCAATCATAACCGCCAATTCGTCTGAGCAGTTGTCAGACAACGGAAAGCCTTACCCTTCACGACCAACATGGCATATTTCACGCGCGCCGTGGCGATCCCGAGCGCGGGGAAGTGGGTCCGGGGCAGAGGCCGAGTCAGTGGATCATCTTTTGGGGGTTTCGCTCAAGTTTTACTCTTTTAGTTGAATAGAGCAATGCTTTCCGCAACGGTCTTTTGTTAGACTTGTGTCCAGAAATCCGGGGACTTTTTGAATTTCCATTACCCCAGATAGAGATGAGATCATCATCAACTGAAGCAGTTTCCGATTCCTAGCAGAAACCAGAGGAGTTTCCTTCGCATAAAGACCTTCGTTGGGGGTTGAGGCTCTTCGTAAAGCGGGAACAACAAGATTAGATGAGGATACCCATGCCGCCCATGTTTTTTCCAATAAATTTAGCTTACGGTTCTGATTGCGCCTTCTTCGTGAATCTACGGTGGACTCAATTACGATTGTCCATCAACCCAAAGAACTACATAAGCTCAAACCCAAATTCGGTACCGGACGCCTGCCGGCGTGCAGTAGGCACGGGACTGTTATTGTCACACCTGGCTCTGATGACTTTCACGCGCCATCGGCGACATTCGGCGTTCTTACCGCACGTCTCCAATTATTGTCCCCGCACGGAAATTCCTCCTTAGTTCGCCAGACTTGGATAAAACCGCGCGAAAGGCCCCGGTCCCTCGTCCGTGTTACAATGGTGTGTACATTGGCCACATCCCATACCAGCCGCCAGTTCTTGTTCGCCTTTCCCCCACAAACATGCTGCTCACCTTCTATCGTCCCACCTGAGCCGTTTGCCGCCGCCGAAGAGGAATCGATGCCCTGCAGTGCAAGTGAGAGACAGTCGTTGTTTTCTTGCCTCAAATGCCCACTCCGGGAACCGTAAGGAGGCCGGGCTGCGAAAGCTGTCGCTCAAGGTATGTTCCTCGAATCTATTTGCTCAAGCTGTTATCCATCTGTAAATCATTCCCTCCTTTCTTTGGTAGGAAGGGCAGCCAGTGCCCCGGCCTCTCGGATAGGTTCGCGGAACCCGCGGGGATGGCTGCCATTTCCCTCTGCCGCAGAACCCCTCGCTCCCAGCCCGAGATCGAGAACGGATCGATCTACCGCATGGCCCCGGTCAGTTCACTAATCTGATTTTGTACTGCCTTCCCCAGACATATCAAATGTAAGTGCGGGGGTGGATACGCCCCCTTTCAACAGTGGGAGTATTGACGGCATTCCGTTCCAAAAGCTGACTTATTCATATAGGCGACAAAGGAGCCCCTTGCGGGCAGTGTGTTCGGAAAGGTAGGGCTTGTGTCCGCGGTACCAAGCTCAAGTTCAGACACATTACCGTGCCAAGGTGAACTACTTAACCCCATTCTCTCTTATTAGTTGTCCCCCTACCCCAAAGGCACGCATCTGACTGCTTCCAACCTACAGTGACACAGATGGTAATCGAGGGGAACCCCAATATGAGTTCTCAGATACGCAAAAGTGGTGCCGGGTGTCAGGGAAGAGGATACGCTTCATCGACGAGACTGCCGATATAAACAGCCTCCACAACGATGGGTTCGACTCCGACGACGAAGACTTCATCTCGATCGAAGATTATCCCCCGAGTCCACCACCACCACCACCACCGCGACGGACTAAGAAAAGACAAGATGAATTCGTCAAGCCGTCATCGACCAATCGTCCAAGCCGAAACTCGGACGCCGCCGCCAACGAAACTGGTCAGAGTCCTTTGCCCATCGAGAAAGGCCAGCAGTACCCCTTGACGAAGCTGCCAGCCCTACACCCTCATCCTGCCTTCCGAAGCCCATCGTCAGGCCACCTGGAGTCAGACGATGCGCCGCGGTCCTTCTCACCAGTGCCTCGAAGCGCCATCAGCGAAATTGGTAGCGGGAGCCACTGCGATGACCCCAGCTTGCCCGAGCCGCGTCGATCCTTCAGTTCCGCCAATTTTCCGTTAGAAGACCGTCGTGAGGCAGACTTAGTTCGCCACTTCAGGGAGTTCATCGCGGCCTCGTTCGACTATGGTGACCCGCACAATCGGATCTCGGTTCTCCTTCTGCAACATGCTGCTCTCAGTCCTGTGCTGCTTAATGCTGTCTTAGCTGTGTCGGCAAAGTCAAAAGATGAAGGCGACAGCCTAAACTTCTTTGATAAGCCTGCAGAACGATACTATGATATGACTATGGAGCTTCTACAGCCGGCCTTGGACGGCGCTGTTCCCGAGGTCGACGAGGCACATATTGCTGCTGCCGTTCTGCTCAGGCTTTATGAGAATATTTATAGTACGTCCTCCCACAGCCCAAGGCCATGGTTACATTGCCTGGCTACATGGAACTTGAGAACCTGGCAAAGAATTTGTGACATCAAGCCATGCACTCCGTCTCGCTGACTATCACAATAGTCACACCGTTGTGTCAAAAGACACCCTCAACCCCGATATGGAGGTTCCTTTCCACGCATATCAAGACTCCCGAGCATGGTACTCTCCTGGAGGCCGCAATGTGGGCCTGGATACGCATCGAGATCTTCCGGTCTGTCATGCGAAACGAAAAGTTAGATCTCGAAATAGAGCATGTCGACTTCGATCGCTCCCTTCAACCAGCGGACGATGATATCTGGGCGTGGCGGATGTGCCTCCACACCGTCGACGTACTCAATTACTGCTATGGGGAAAACAAGCCCCGCGAGACCTACGATCAGCTGGTATCCTACGCCACGAAGTGGATGAGGTCAGTTCCAGAGTCGTTCACACCGGTTTTGGTACAAGCCCCATTGCGTGGTAGCCTCTTTCCAGAGATATTCCTATTGAACGACTCCGTCGTAATGGGGCTTCTATTCTATCACATCAACCGCATTCTCTTAACGATACATAATCCCGATGCGCAACGCTTAGCCAAAGTATCTAAACAAGCAGCTCGGTCGATCAATGTAAGTTTCCTTACTTGGGGCCGCAGTTTCTCTGCTCACACATGTGCTGCAGAATGAGATCTTCACCGACGTGAAGATTCTTGCCGGCATGGCAGACTCAATCAGTCCATGCAATCCGGCTCATATGTAGGTTGATGGACTCCCGGGATATTGGCATCATCACTCATTCATCAACAGATCGGCCTGCATGGCCATAGTCTTGGCAGGCGACCGTGTCACCATAAGAGAAGAGCAAGAAGTCCTCTACGAGTTGCTATCAAATACTGCGGATGACTTCAGCTGGGATGTGTCACTGATGTAAATTAATCTGTCCCCTTCGCCGGTATTACCCTTGGAACTTATGACAGACTGCTGACATCTTGAGTTAGACTGGCTCACTTAAAGAAGTCATGGGACTGGCCTGAAGACATGCTCGTATAGCTCGCTTATGGCACATCTTGAGACCATGCCCTCAAACTTGTACACATAACTTTTCTATCCTGTATCAGAAGCACCACCAGCCGCGGTTTCTTCGTCGCATCCCACTGGCCGCTTTCTTTGTGATCTGGTGAATGTCCAATGGTATACGTTCTTAAAATTGTCAACGAGGCCGACTAGATGCCTACGAACATGGGTAGCGCACCGCCCATTGCCAATCATCCCATATCCCATCTTGATCCTTGTGGAATCTGCAAGATCTTGGAGAGTCTGGTGAGAGACTTTGGATCTACTTCGCCCTGAGTGATGTATCCACGTGTCCGACGGTTCCGTATCGGCTCTCAAAATCATTCCGATTGGACCTCAGCCCATCGTCACATTGTCTCTCTGACGTGAGCTGGTCGTTCTCGGATTGCTGCTCGACCTCGTAAAGCTGTGGATTGCGTTTCCTACTTGAACGTTAACGCTTCTCTCACGGTCTCATTTCCAAGAATTCGAACTAACAAGTCCCGTTTGTACAGAAAGTCAAGCAGATACATGCCCACGACGGCCAGCCCGCCGAAGAGAATGAGTATCTGGTAACCATACTTGTACTTGGGGGCGTCATATGTCGGAAATAGCACAACTTCAGGAGTCCATTAGCAATCAGAACATGAAGACTTGCAAGATGAAGCATCTCCGCATGATATAAGACTTACCGGGCATCCAAGCACTGAAGGTGTAGGTAAAGATTTTGCCCGTAGCAACCAGCAGTTGTCGGAGATTTGCATTCGATTGCGTGATCTCGTGCCCATAGCTGATGACAATTGGCTGAGCCGCACCGCCGGTATAGTTCAAATAGAAGGCTGCAAACAAGGCCGCCTTAGGAACGTTCCATATTGACAGGATTATGTTCGACAAAAGCACCATTGCCTGTACGAACATCACCGTCAGAACTCGACTACCCGTGGCATCTGAAAGCCAGCCCATAGCAAACGCTGCGACTATCTGTATGGCGTTTCCTGAAAATAGGTAAGGTCTCAGCACTCTTCACGTCGAAACTAATTGCAGCCGTTGTTAGACAAACCTATTGTCGGAAGGATGTTCGTCTTAACGACGCTATAACCCTCTGACTTGAGAAAGAGGTTGAAATACCCGGTACCGGACCCAGCTTCAGCCACCATGAGATATGGAAGTATGAAAGCCCAAAGCTGCCATGAAGTGTATATCTCCTTGATGGTCTTCAGAGTCAGCTTCGATGGTGGTTTGCGACCCATAGCTTTGATGCGCTCCATGCCATATTCACGGTCCTGTTGATCACGGTCAGCCTGCATTGTACGTCCGGCTCCACTAGCTTAATGCAGCGGATGTTTTCTTACTTCTTTTTGAAGGTAGAAAGCCCGAGTGTTGTGTGGTAAGTCAGGAAGCGCAAAGAATCCATACAAAGCGATCGGTATCGAGATGACGCCTATGAATGATCAACATCAGGTCCACATCGTCTCGGAGTTGTGCCGATAACTGACCATCCATGATGAAGAGCCACCTCCAGCCAGACAGCCCAGCTGTCCCATTCATGCCAGTGTAAAGCCCTGCCTGGAGGTATCCACTGAACATACCAGCAATTGCAGCTATCTGCTCAAATAAAGCCATACGCTTGGCGAGTTGAGACTTGCCGTACCAACTCCTCAGTATGCTAGCGAAACCTGGGAAGGAACATGACTCGAGAAGTCCTATGAAGAATCGTAAAGCGTAAAGCTAACGATACTTGGTCAGCAATGTTCTACTTTCACGTCTATGAGAGCGAAAGTGACTGTGAACATACTGTCTCCACATTCTTGGCGCTCGCCATGATCATTGTCAAGGCAGACCACCCGAGTTCACACGCCGGTATCCAAATCGACGGGCGTACATACTTTAGCTGGATCATTTGGGCTGGGATAGTGCCCAAGATGATACCGATGTTGAAGTATGTATTCAGGAGGTTTCTCTCATTGCCGTAAAGATTAAGCTCTTCCTGCATGCCGCTGACGAACGCATTGCTGTAGTTATTCTGATCGAGGTACTTGATGAAATACCCTAGAAGTACGTAAGAGCTATGGTCAAGGTCAGTCAGAACAGTATCAAGTTAGTAGGAGCCCGACTCACAAGAGGAAAGTGTTCAACTTCCGAACATATTTACGCTCTCGTGGGTCATCACCCCAGACCTTGCGTGAGATGTTTGACAGTACCCTCCATCTACTAACCTCGCTAGATGCCAGTTGGACCTCCAGGTCCGTAGACACCTCAAAATCTTGCTTTCTGCCGTCACTGGTCATGTTTGCAAATTGTAAGTGAACAATTTGCTAAGCTGATTGAAATGCGAAGAACACAATCATCCCTCAACATGTGCAGTTCATATAGCATGCCCCGTTTCTACTCGGAGCACGCCATTGCTTCTGATGATGATGATCCTCTACTCTCTTCTGAGACACCCCATGTCTTCAGTGCGGCATGAGTGTCGGGAACTGTCCGATGCAAGCCACACAAAAGCCGTGAGGTATGTCGGCAAGTGCATGCTCACCAGGGTCTTCGGCAATAAGCAATGAACTTGAGTCTCGCAATCAGAAAAGAGGAGAACTACCATATGTCCAAATGCTTTATCGGAAATTTTAATAATATGATGTTGGCAGCATTGTCGCGAGAGATAAGATGCAGACATGTTACGGTGCCTTCGACCAATGTGAGGGCACAGATGTCATGACGAATCTCCAAGGATGATGTCGCAACAAGGAGAACAAGATCGCGTGCTAGCATGTACAACCTCCAACACGGAAATAAGCACCCGGCCATTTCTATATCAGACTGGACAATTCTGGTGTCATCATTGCATTTAGAGTGAGTGAACTATTGACCAGATTACCAATTACGTTCATCACAATGGCGACAAAAGTAAACACAAAGGTTACAGCAGAGCCCCAGACGCTTCAGCTTCGGGCAGAAACGTCTATCAACTATGACAAGGAGAGCGTGAGTACAAATCATCGTACCATACTGATGGACGAATTCTGATTGGTGTTAGTATAAATATGAAAGTTACTTGCCATATTTCGTACCCGGAACTCAGCCTCCATTGGAAGAGTTCCACCATGACGATGTCGGTTTTAGGGCTGATCCGACCAAGAAGAATCTTCTAGGGGCAACTGGGGTCAGCTATGAAGAGGTTACCCCAGTGGTCGGTACCGAGATCCATGGAATCCAACTTAGTCAACTGAGCTCTGCCCAGCTTGATGAACTGGCACTCTTCGCAGCTGAGCGTGGCGTGGTGATTTTCCGAGACCAAGATTTCGCAGACATTGGACCCGAGAAGCAGAAAGCCTACGGAAGACATTTCGGTTCACTGCATGTCCATCAGATGGGCGGTCAGATCAAGGACTACCCAGAACTACTCCCTGTGTACCGCGACTTCACGTAAGTCAACCGCGACGGCAAAAGCAGACATGGACGCTTGACAGAAAATTCAGTGCAGGTGCTGTCGACAACGAGATCAAAGACAATGTCACCAGCGTGAAGTGGCACAGCGACATGAGTTATGAGATGTAAGTCCGCTGCCAATGACCACGCGTCATCGTATTGGAACCTGACAGCATACAGCAACGGGATGGGTACGACAACCTTCTTGCCTCTGAGCACTCCGGCATCTGGAGGGGATACTCTATACCTCTCCACAACAGCAGCCTACTACGCACTCTCGGAGACTTACCGTACGTTGCTTCATAGCTTGAAGGCTGTTCACTCCGGCTTCTCTCAAGCTTCGGTGAACGACCACCGCGACCGGTACATTCGGGAACCCATTGAAACCATCCATCCAGTCGTGAGAACCCATTCGGTCACTAAGCAGCTTTCCCTGTACGTCAATCGGCTCTACACGAAACGAATTGTCGGTATGAAGCAGGAAGAGAGTGCCGCTTTACTAGGATTCTTGTTTGACCATATCGAAAGAGGTCAGGATTGGCATCTGCGGGTTCATTGGAGGCCGGGAACGGTGGTGGTCTACGACAACAGAAACACCCAGCACTCTGCGCTGCGAGACTTCACGGTCGAAGAGGGGAAAACTAGGCGGCATATGTTGAGGATCACGCCGCAAGCGGAGAGGCCGTACTTTGATCAATTCAACAGCTCTTAGTGATAGCCCTGTCGCATATAGCCATGGTAGTTTTGTCGTCTATTGTCGTCTATCCCAATGTTTCAACCCCGCTACGTGTTTGTAGGAAATGGCAGATCCTTAGAGCGTGCTAGCCTGCCAAGAAACAGCAGTTCTCGCTGCATGCAGGTGTAAAGTTCACCAGGCCTTCCTCCACATTGTCTGGGCTTCCACGGGACACCCACCATCGTCCCTGCTCTTCCCGATTGAACAAGGCGACAGGATGAGAACCGTGAGATGCTGGATACAACGCTTGGATTGTCCACTCAACCATGCATGTGAATCTGGTCCACAGTCTGTCACGTAAGGGGTCATTTCCGGACCCCTTCCAGACCCAGCCTGCAAACAAACTATCACCAGCCCCGTCATCCGTCCGTCATCCGTGTACCTGGATCCTGGTAGCAGGAGATCCACAGGTCTCACCCAAGAGCCGTCTGGGTGTCTTGTTTCCTGGCTTGTGCGCACGGCAAAGAATCTGCCGACGAACCCATGTCGGGAGGATACCGCAGCGACGAACCGGCCGGAAGCCAAGACGCTCTAGCGAGTGTGCCATTGATCATTCAGCCCTTTGACTTGATCCTTCGAGCCTATGGTTTCCTTCAAGAACAATAATAAGGAGTCTGAGGTAAATGTCTCACATGTTGAATCAAAAGCCGGAACAGGAAAGCAAAATCGCTGGGGAAACATGCTCACAACGTCCTGAATTAGGGTGTGTAGCTGCTAATGTCAAAGAGGAGGCTGGCGTTGAAATGCTGGAGAAGTTTGCACTTGTGGCGCCCTAGAAAAGGACGTGAATGTTGTCTCGGTTCCCCTGGGCTGTTAATTGAAGCCGTCGTGTTCCTGTTCATAGCCACACTGTTTTGTGTCTCGCAGTAGTGCCTCGTGTATGGCATTAGAGTTGTAGCTACCGAACTTTCAATTTGACAAGTGACAGATATTGTCATTTGGCATCTTGAGGCGACTGGGCATCCGATTAACATGTGCAAGGAGGGGCCTGAGAGGCCATGACTGTGTGGCATCGCGGCACTTCCGGGTCATAACCCGGCACACATCCCCGGGCCGATCTCCCTCGCCAAGGGGGTATGGATCGGAGGTATCCCGACCGCAAAAACCACATTTTTTGACAAAGTCAGGTTTGTTGCCGCTGACCTAATGGAATTACTCAAGTCACTCAAGCCAAAAGGCGACTGAGTTTGTTTCAAGGATTGTCCTCAGAGGCTTGGCCACTGGTTCGATCGGTAGTAGCGAAACAGCAAGTGAAAAGCCGCTAGGCGACAAGCTAGACGTACGCGAGATGCTTTGCACGGCCACCATTTCCGACGTGGCGTGTCGGAACGGTGATAGATCTGTTCTAGCGCTCCTTCGAGAAAGCAAGCCACAGTTATTCAACTGGTCAGCCTCCTCGTCCGTTCACCGGAGCCCGTGTCCTAAGAAGGACTGGTGGCAGACGCTCTAGAGCTTGACTTAACGCGGATGAGGCATTCCTCCCGCCGCCGTCCCGAGTCCGTCGCCGGATCTGGACATTTTCTTCAAGGCAAAGCTTTCCAGAGGCTCGGAGCTGGCTGCTCGTTTGTGTTGCCTTACCTCATCGCAAATGATCCCCAAAAATCAAATGTCCTTTGAAGCTAGGAGAGCTCCGGTGGGGTCAAGACAGATACTTTCCCTTCTTTTGAGTCTTCAATGAGGGACGGACGGCGCATGCCGAGCTCTCCGGACGCACGACCCGACGCCGTCGACTGAAGGCTTCGGATTGAGCTCTGAAGATGGAAACGCGACACAACAAGACCCATCTACCCCTGGCGTTAGCGCCCGGTGCACGGTAACGACGGTGTCTTGTGATTTCTGCGGCCCGTATCCTTCTTTTCATTTCCGTACTTGTTTAAGGATGGGGAATTATAAAGAATCGTACGACCTTTGCTTGACTCCCCCCTCCCTCCCCACGATCTCCATAAACCTTGCATCTCTTCAAGTGGGAACTGGGAGGGCCTGCTCCAAAGAAAGGACCCCTGGTAGACATCGAAACGTGAAATCTACGAGTCAACATGGCACCCGTGGTTGAGAACCGCGGACCCGAGCTCCTGGCCGTCAACATCTTCTTCGTCTCAGCGGCGGTGTTGGCCACTGCATTGCGATGCTACGTCCGGGCTGGCCTGGTCAAGGCTTTTGGAACGGATGACTGGCTCATGGTCTTGGCTCTGGTATGCATTACTCGATTTGCATGATGATTGTGTATACAGACAGGAAGACATGACTAACTCCATCAAAGGCCTTCTTCATATGCTACTCAACCTTCTCGATACTAGGTGTTCACTATGGCACCGGAAGGCATTTCGCGGATATCGAAGATGACCATATCACCAAAGCGCTCGAGGTCAGCAACTACTCCAAGACAATACGATTTCCACTGGTAACAAGTGTACTGACACAACCTCCTAGTGCTGGTGGTTCTGCTACCTCTTTTACTCCCTCAGCATGATCGTCTCGAAAATGTCCATCGGATTCTTTCTCTTGCGAATTACCACCCGAAGACTACACAGCTGGATCATTTACATGGCTATGATGTTCACTGTCCTAGCCGGAGTCGTTTTCTTCTTCGTGACGCTGTTTCAGTGCCACCCGATCTCGTTCTTCTGGAACAAGAGTCAGCCAGGAAGCTGCATCGATGTCAACATTGTTATTGCATTGGCATACTTGTACAGTGCCTTCAGTGTCATATCGGACTTGACATTCGCCATTCTCCCAGCCTTTTTGGTTTGGAACCTCCAACTGCGAAAGAAGACGAAGTTTGCTTTGATCCCGTTATTGATCATGGGTTGCGTGTGAGTACAATCAAATCTTATTGGCAACGTGAACGAATCTGACCATCCTATCAGTGCCAGCTCAGCTGTCTTGGTTCGCTTTGGATATCTCATGGGCCTCAAGGACGCCGATTTCCTCTGTAAGTCTACTATTTCAAGTTGTCTCTTCCCAGGGACAATCAACTAACTTTAACAAAGGGTCTACCCTCGACATCGCTATCTGGTCATCCGTGGAACAAGGCCTAGCAATCACCGCCGGCAGCCTCGCAACACTTCGACCCCTTCTCAAAGCCATCGGCTACAAGTTAGGCATGACCTCAAACCCATCCCCGCACCGCGTTACCGATGACGCTACTCGCCGACCATCGGCCTTCGCAGCCACAACCTTTGCTAAGTCCAGCAACGGTCCGCCGCAGTCCGGGCACGAAGATCTCTATAGCATGTCGTACTTTCCTTGTAAATGCTGCGGCACCTTCAAGTGTCAAAAGAGGCAGAGTGAGGCGACTTCTGGAAAGAGGAGATCGAGCATGGGCTTCTCGGCGAGAGCAGGTAAAGGTGACGTTGAGGCCTTGTCGCACATCAAGAGTGTCAGTGAGAATGGGAGTGAGGAAGAGTTGACTTACGGAGGAAGGTCGACAAGGGAGGCTTCTCATGACAATGAGAGAGTGGTCCCGAAGAGCTTCCTCATTGTCGACGAGCAAAAGGACTCGTGAATTTGATATACCCGATATTGCGGCCACAAATCTTAGTAAAAGCATAATACCCCTGTTTGAGTAATACCAAAGCAATAATGATGAGTCTGACAACTGTAACTGAAGGTCAGTGATGGTCGAATCTGCCAGCGCTAGTATAATGTATTGCGTTAGCCAAATCGTGTCTAACGAAATGTACCCCTTTCTTAGGTGAAAATGCGCTTGATCTCTGCGTCCATCATTGGAAACAGTATGATATAATTGTCGATTCAAGGGATTTGAATTTCCTGATCTCTTGCAGGGCAGTACTCTGGGGTTAGAGATTTTGAATCTCCACTAGCACCACACAATTATGATCGCCGCACTTGTAATATGTCGAGTTCCCTCTCATACCATTGCGACAATTGTTCTTGATCCTTGGACCAATTTGATCCGGTCACGTGAAAGCGAGGCCTTTTGACACACTTGAACTTAGTACAGGCTATGTCGGCATTATGCCCTGCACATCTTTTATTGTTCAAAACATTAACACATCATTATTTTTATTTGCATCATTGCTGACATGCTGACATGGGAAGTGGATTTGTGGCCATCTAGGAACAAATGAATTAACTGATTAATCCATAAAGTTCATGGGAGCGCAAGCCGGTGCCATACGAGGCAGGCCGCGGATAGTGTTATTCCAGCTTTTCCTTCCAAGCAAAATACTGAAAAGGCATATAGATCGCAACAAGTGCTGCGAGAAAAGCCCCTAAACCAAAACCAGAAGAGTCATCAGCCTTGCATGCAAGATAAATGGCTACAATTGCCCAGATGATCACCGTGATTACAAGAAGAAGAGAGAAAAACAGGTGCCAATTGAAGCGTTCGTTGACCCGTATGCCCCATCCAATTACTCTTTCATGGGTTCCTGGTAGGCGATGTAACGGACCCCGAAGCTTTTTGGGAAATGTTGTGATCCAGTAGTTGTCGCTGTGTCGGCGCCCAGGGAGCGTTAGATGCCATAAGGGAATGGAATCAACCGCAACATCAGTCGGTACTGGATTGTACGAATAGCTTTTTGCTTCTAATACTTCGGAGACAGGAGGATACTCCCCACATTTGAAATGTTGCGGGTTGGTAGACTCCCCCATCGGGACGAGTCGAAACTTTTTGGGGGGCTATTAGTGACAGTATTCCACGGGGAAAGAAGTTGTGTTGACATACCTGAACGTAATCGCCAGTGTGCATGTTGAACAGACTAGCCTCGGACAGTTTTTGAAAGAACTGGAACATCCGATCCAACCAGCTTGGAGTATTTTGCCTGAGAGAGGCTAGGCCTTTGTTTAGTATTGCGCATGCTAATGGCGGGAAAAGAAGCGAGATTCTCCAGGTTGATCCCTCACGTAGTGTCTGATATCTTTGCAAGATGTGCTGGAAAAGATATTGATCATTCCCAAAAGAACTGCAGTCAACATGGTCCAATATCGGAAGGCTTTTTTGGTTGACGCACAGCAGCAAGTACTGGGGAGTATTCTGTTCTTCTTGATGGAACGCCACCTCGTCGGACCGTGACGTGTCTGACGCCGGCGTTGGCGATCCTGGTCTTGACGAAAAAGTACCCCGTTCAGAACTCTGCCGCGATGAGCTTGACTGACTTCGCTCTGGCCGAAGATGCGCAGGAGGGGGTGGAGAAAGACTGCTCCGAGGACCTTGAACTGCTGTTGAGTCCGGACCTCTAGCAGTTGGGTCATAAGGGGCCATGAGCCTGGCAAGTCCATCTTTCATAAAGCGCTGCCGAAATAGCTGGATCCCGCCTGGTTTGAGCTCTTTGATGTCCAAAAACATGGGATCGTTGCATTCCTGTAATAAGGTACCCAGTTAGCTCCGGCTCCTTACTCTGAGAAGCGATATAACGATAGAAATTAGCCACCTACACAGATGTACCGAAGTCTTTGATATCCTAATTTTGGTGGACAATACATATCGTAAAGCCATGAAGATAGTTTGATTTTCCCATAAGCAACGCTGCCATACCATCCACGCGACCTGCTGTTGGGCCTCTGCTCTATCTCCGCCTCCGTTTGACTCTGCATTGGTGACTGCGTCTCCTGCACGACCCTGCTGGGGGGGTGTAAGAAGTCTGAAAACTCAGCTTTGAATTGCATTAGCGATGCTCCTGAGGCGAAATGGTGTCTGGCATTCTCAAGATCAACGAGGTAGGGGCCATCTTGGTCGGCTTCTTGTTCGTCTTCATCCACTGAGCTTTCCTGTTCACTCCGCTCATCAATATCCAGCGGCGGTTCCACTCCTGCATTGGTTGCATCTTGGCGTACTTCTTCGCTCTGAAGAAAGCGTTGCAGAGTCAAGTTTCGCTCTTCATGTTGAGACAATGCTACCTGAACTCTTTCTCTCCCTGTGCTTTCGAGAACTTTTCTCGAGATGAGTGTTCTGTTGGATCTTGGCCTGAGGAAATTAACCGCAACGATTTGTTTCCGGTTTGTAGCTTGTGAGAGCAGTGACAGGTAATATCTTTTGAGCAAGCGTCCATGATTCCGACAAAAGCGGTCATTATCCAGACGTTTAGACGCTTCCTCATATAGGGGGCGAAGGGTTGCATCATCAGTCAGCAATTCAGCCAAATAGCTAGCTGCGGCTGTTCTGACCTCCCAGCGAGCAGAGTTTGATCCGTCTTGTGAATGGATATCTTCAGGTCCCGATATCAGGGATCTGATTTCCTCGTCAACACCATCGCTGTAACTTTCGACTTGTGCGTGATTATAGAAAGTCTTGGCCGTCTGTTTTGCTGCGTTATCCTCGTCAACGTTATTGGTGTCTTCCTCAAGTGACGATGGTTTCGTAGAGACAAGACCTCCGCTGAATGTCTCGCTAGCCTTATTGGAAGGCCTATAGCTCTCGGTGATAATTGTTTGGGCGTCTGACGGTGCAAGTTGGAGCCGATTCTCGCGTAGAAGTTCTGGCCAAAATGACTCCGATTCAAGTTCCCTGACGAAAGCCTGCGCGTCTCTTTGTTGTTTGGAGTCAAAGCGGCTAAATATGCTATCGTATGCACCCATTTTTTCTGGGAGAGTGTTGGTCGTCTTCAAGAATGGCATTTTGGGCCGCGCCTGGCCGTCCAGGATTTCTTCCATCACAAAGTGCAGCCAGCGATATGTTCGATGCGAAACTGAGAAGAGCTTTTTCTGCAACTTGTCTTGCACTTGTTGACTCATCCCAAGTCTGCGCCCGGCTGATGCTACCTTGTGTCGAATAACGAATTTGATTTCCTCACTGATATCAGCATTGCTCTCTTCGCCAGTGAGCCGGATTGCCCGAGGCCCGAGCATGCCGCGAAACTCAGTCTCAATGTCTTGATGTGGTCGACTAGCGACAATAAACTTAAGTTGATACCTTGTAGACGTGATTCGTTGGTTATGGAAGGTTGTTAGAAATTGTATGAGCTTTCGGCGGTCATCAGTGCAGCACTCGTCTAGAGCGTCTAGAACACAAGTGACACTGACTGCTTCATCGTCCGTACCAGCCGCTGCGAAGATGCGCCACAGCTCATCAACATTTGTCTGCAATTCCTTTCCATTTTTCTCAAAGGCATACATAGCATGGCGGAGGAGGATGGGTTGAGAGTTGAAAAGCTGATGAAGAAGGGCACACAAGGCTGTCGCCAGGTTGTTTTGGTTGTCGTTGTCCTTGAAGAAGAAGTAGCACACCGTATGCTGATTCCAATTTTGCAACTCCTCGTCAATAAGGGCGTTGGATAGCACAGATTTTCCACAGCCCGGGCCTCCCAAGATCCAAAGGAGGTCATCCTGACGGCTCTGTTTCCACTTTGTGTATCGTGGATGCTCTAACACCCACTCCCAGGTGCCCGTGACTCGGTCAGTGTTGATATTCTTGAACTTTTCGTATGTGCTTGTTTTGAATGCTCGATGGCAATCAACCTGTTTTTGGCTTTCGTGTTCGCCCTCCCGTTTCTGTATCTGTGCCAAGATGGCCGCCTGTGTGCTGTGAAGAAGCTCTTGAAGGTGAATATCTGGAAGAGGGATTAGCACTGCAATATTTGGACCAGTGTTATCCACTTACCAGATATTAACGGCGGGACAGGCTTCTCCTGCAGGACCCGATCTGGCGGTATAATCGAAAGGAATTCTTTCGCAAATGCCGCTGCTGTAGCACTCGCGTACTCCTGCCACATCTTGTTTTTATGCGAATCAGCATAGTCACAAATACCGCGGATGACAAGACACGGAAAGTCTTGCAGACCCGCCGCTCCCATTTCAAAACAAAGCACATCTAGATTTTTCGCCATTATATCACGAGTCTTCCCATGCTTGATGGCCTGGAAGCCCGACGCAATATTTCCGTAATGAATGATCGGGTCTGTATCGTCTCGGGGATCTCGTTGGATCGTATGCAAAGGATCACACTTGCCACACCCGGACTCCTGGTCAACATGTTCGTACTCTGCTTCATAGAGACAATCGTTGGCACTTCCCTGATAAGAGAATCTCTTTTCCACCTTTCTGGGAGCTTTGTTCACAAGCTCGGATAAAAAATCAGGGATCCGGCTGTCTTGGCTAAGATGATCGATCTTTAGACGATTCAGGGCTGCTAGGAGGAACTGTGGTGGTGCGTTGAGGGCACCAGTGCGTTGGAAACCCCCCTCATTTGTAAGCTTTCCTCGGTCGTATTGAACGATACCTCCAATTGTTCCGGTAGGTTGGCTAACCACGATATCGCCCAGTCGAATGTCATGAGCTCGTGACGGTGCGCCGCCTCCAATCCCCACAATCAGCCCGAACCGGATTGAATTGAAAGTCCGCAACATGTCCTTGACAACTGTAGCAGCAGGAGTCAATCCGTAGATGCCCGCAGGCAGGCAAGCAATGACGACGTTATGTCTCTGAACCCGGCCCAAGATATAGCTGTTATGGTCGGCCGGATTCTGGTGAGAGAAATCAGGGTGCACTTGGTCAAGCATCAGCCTTGCAGCAGCCATTTCCACCGGGACCGCGCACACCCAGCCGATAGTATAGTCCTCTGGTGCTACAGGAGTATTTCTCTGGAGCTGGTCATCACCACTGTTCCTCTGTTTTCGGGGTTGAAATTTATCGGCATCGAAGTCTGAAAACGTTATTAGTACGCACTGGCAAGGACTTTTACCCTCAACTACGAAGGGGCTTACCATGCGCTGGGCCACGGCCACGCTTAAGCGAGCCGGTCTTGCTGTCTGTGGCGGTCTCCTCGTTGTCATCACCTGACGCTTCTGTGTTGGAATCGTACATCTTTCGTCGGTGCAATGGCCGCTGGCGATCGTGTCTTCGCGTCAAGTTATGGTAGGTGGATCACGTAGCAGGCAGGGAGGGTCGAAAGTCTGGGCTTCAACAGATCATAGACACATTCACTCCGCAGCATTGCGAGGGGAAGTCTTGTTTCTTGAAGGCGAAGGGCTGAGGTCAGTCTCAAATGAAATGCACATTGGCGGTCCGACCCCTCATTGAATCCGCTTCGACCTATCATATTCTGATGGCCAGCATGCGTTGATGCCTGAGATGAATTTGCCAAGGCTAAATGCGCAGGGCTGCATCGCTTGTCAGTCATTCCTGCCTCATGCAGCATCGCAAGCTAAAGCCAGGTGTTTACTTACTATAATTACAGCAAATGCAAAATGCACCATCTGAATGAGAAAGGAATATGTGTAGTATTCTACTCGTTGAATTGCATGGTTTGAGCGAGTTAGTGAGTCGAGGTGGAGCTTTACATGCTGGGCACCATTACTTCATCGCAGCAAATATTCATGTTGCATCGAAATTCGGCCGATTAGCTGGACGAGTGATGAAATTGGGGCTGACAACATGATATACAGACGACATGAGCCTTAACGTATCATCTTACAACTCCAAAAAGCGCAATGTAGTAAGTTCATCCTATCGCTGTCAGCTACAGGCCCTTCAATTTCGATGTTCACAGCTAAAAAGATAGACCTCAGTCTACGATTGGAGGTGCGATGCCCCTCGTGATTGCGGGGTAATGGCGGGGTCGGCAAGCTACAAATGCGTGCTCACAGTGAAAGCTCATAGGCTTCACCCGACTATATAACCAGGAAGGGCCATTGCTGATTTCGCACCAGGATAAAAGAAGAGATCATGGCATGTGGCGCAAAATTTGGGTTGTCTTCGAGTTGCCTATGTAGTAAATGAAGTGTATCTGTGATAGCTAAGGTGTGTTGGTTTCTTATAGAGTATGCGACGGGTTCTCAGCTCCTGAAGCCCACAGTCCTTCGCCTCCAACTAAGCCCCATTTCATTGCGACAGAGCTAGTCGTTCTGGGAATGCAGGGATAACATGAATGCTTTTAAAGTTCTATTTACAGCGACGAATTTCTAATGACGTATCGCGGTTCGCAATGTGAAATAAGAAAGCCTGGCAAAGTCACAACTTACCTTAGGTAAGCTAGGCGCAAAACCTCTGACGTGATGTGATTGATCCTCATCTTTCAACACTAGTATCGACACGTTCGCAACGCGTCTGAGTCAACAAGAGCGCGTTGAAAGTGATCTCATCAACAAAAGCCTCACTCACAACCCCTCGCTAAGAACCTTTCCTCACACGCAGAACCAAAATGCCCGCAGTAAATCTCGCAAGACTCCCACTAGGCGAGCAACTCACCCTCGTCCGTCAAGTCCTCGAAACAAACAAAACCCTTCTCAAAGTCCTCTCCCTCGCCACAAAACTGAACCTCCCAAACTGGTACCTCGCAGGCGGCGCCGTTTCCCAAACAATCTGGAACCACGTCTCCTCGCTCCCGCCCACAACGGGAATCTCGGACTACGACCTCGTCTACCACGACGACTCGGACCTCTCCTACGAGGCCGAGGACGCCGTGATCCGCCGCGGGCGCGAGCTGTTCGCGGGCATCCCCGGCGAAGGGGTCGAGATCCGGAACCAGGCGCGGGTGCACCTATGGTACGAGGAGAAGTTCGGGGCGCCGTGTCCGGCGCATGAGTCTACTGAGGCTGGCATCGATACGTGGATTACGACGAGCGCGATGATTGGGGTGCGGGTGGAGGCGGATGGGTCGTGGAGGGTGTATGCGCCGAGGGGGTTGTCTGAGTTCTTTTCGATGATTGTGAGGCCGAATTCGACGGTTGGTGTGCAGGAGGCGTATGAGAAGAAGGCGAGGAGGTGGATTGGGATTTGGAAGGATTTGAAGGTGATGCCGTGGACGGAGAATGAGACGCCTATGAGGTTTGATGAGCTCGAGGAGAAGAAGAAGGGTGAGAAGGTGAAGGCCTTGACTCGAAGCGTTTGAGCACGTTGAGCGGCTTTCCTCGTGCAATCCTGTATTATTGTCACTCTGTCTGTGAAAATTAGAAGCCACTCCGATCAACAATCATCTCTCCAAGCATCCTCACAACACCATCCCTCCCCTTCCTCGCGTATCCCGGCAGATCATCCCCGTACTTCTCTTCAAACTTCCCATCAAACACTTCGACCGACAACCACCCTCTGAACCCAGTGCTCATGACAGCCTCCAAGAACTGCAAGATAGGCAAATACCCACCATCGAACGGCAGCGGTCTATGATCATGGCTCCAGCGCCCCCGGGGTCTCAACCCACTCTCATCCGGCTCTTTACTCAATGGCGGTGAGACCTTGTACGCGTCGCTGATCTGAAGGAAATAGATCTTCTCCGGCGGAACCGTCTTTGCAAGCTCCTGCAGTGAGATCTCATACGACATCTTGAGATCCTGTTCACTCACACCACCAGTCTCAATGCGACCCGATTCCGTCGTCGGGTCTCCCCATTCCCCACCAGCAGATTGAAAGGTATCCAAGCAGAGCCCCAAGTTAGGCCGATTAGCAAGCTGCACAATCTTCCACACATCCTTCCACGACGGCGCGTGCGTAGCCCAGCACCAATTCTCATACGCAATCTTGAACCCTCTCGTCGCGAGAAGATCCGCCAGCTCAGCGAGGTCGGCGACAAGATCTCCAATAGAAGACGTGATGTCCGGCGAATCCGACGATCCGACCTGCAGCATATCCGTCCCCACGGTGCTCATGATCTCCATCCACCCCCTCGCGCGCTCGAATGCCTCTTCGCGCTGCTTGCTGCCCTTTGACCACCCCTCGAAATTTGCAAAGGGCTGTAGGACCATGATTTGAAGGTTGAGCTGCGCGCATAGTTCGCGAATGAGCTTGCCGGCTTCGCAGAGCGAGGGGTAGTCGTCGGCTGCGATTTCGCCTTTGTTAAGGTGTCGCGTGGCGTAGGATTGGAGGTCTGGGAAGGAGAGCTCGATGCCGTTGAAGCCGGCTGCGGAGATCGCTGACAGTTTGTCTTCGAGGGTGTGTCGAGGCAGGCCGATGGAGCATGAGGCGAAGGAGATTGGATTGTTGAAGGGAGATGTGATCTTGGACATTTTGGATGAGTCGTAGTGATCTGTCCTGAGCCTTGGTGGTTACAGCTCGAAGTATCCGTCAATATTGTCTCAAAAGTATCGGTTTCTCAGTCTTGTAATCGAAGCTCGAAAGTCAGGTTGATGTTGATGATGTGTTTGTTGATGGCGTGGATGCGATCCGATGATGTCAGTGCTGTGATGTGATGTCAAAGACATGTCACTATACCTCTTCGTCCAATCTCCACTTAGCTCTTTACTTAGCTTCAGTCACCAACTCGGGGAGCAGGTGGACGGACTGATGTTGTATGGCATTCTATTAGCATGGTGTTCATGCTCTAACTTTTACCTCTATAATCAAACAAGACGCCTATTTTGTGTAGATGATCTGGCCCTTGTGGTCAGACAGACAGCCTACTAGTCAATCTTTGGTTGCCCGGCTTTCAACACTTCAGCCCTCTTGACCGACTGGATCAAACCAATTCCCACCGCTGCACTCGCGCCATCGTCAATCTGTGTCGTCCAGAACGACTCCTGCCCCATCGCCCGAATCGACTTGCGACGCTCGCGCTCAGCGACTGAGAGCATAAGCCCAGCCTGCTTGTTGGCCTCCATCTCTTCGAGGTGCTTAACGCGCGTCGCGTATCGCTGGTGTCTCTGCTTGCGAATCTGCTCCGATCCAATGCTCTCCAGACAGAAGCGAACCATTGAGCGCAGGCCGAGGAACACGTGCTCGCTGATGAAGATGGTGATGGGGAGCGCCCACCAGGCTCCGCCGCCGATGCTGTTTGCGCCAAACAGGTGCACGATGGCGCCGGTCGAGAGACTGCCGGCCCAGGTGAGGAAGTCGAGAGAGTTGATCCACGGGCCGATGCCGTCAGTGCGTACGGGGGGCGGGCGGCGATGTTCCATGCAGATCTTGAGGAAATCGGTGCGTAGCTCGACGATGTTGTTGATGAGGAACCCGATGGGGATGAGGGGCCAGACGGGGGAGAAGAGGGCGAGGTAGCCGAACTGGAGAACAATCTCGGCGATGTCGTCTTGGACGTTGTACTTTTCCAGGGTGGCCTGGTTGCGTGCGCTGCGGAGGAACCTGGCCTCCTCGGGAGCGTCCTTGACGATGGACATGAGCATCGTGTCCTTGGAGTGCGAGCGCTTGTACTCGCGGTAGATGCCTTGCGCCTTGTGCTTGAGGACGGGCATGATGTTCTCGTCGAAGAATCCGGAAATCTGGCCAGTGACGACAAGCGCGATGACCTCGTCACGGAGTCTATCTGCGTCGACGTGGAAGCTGAGGTCGTCGTCCATGTACTTCTGGCCAATGGCGCCAAGGAAGCCCTTGGTCATGCCTTCAAGCCAGGGGACGAAAGTGTCGCCAAAGGGAACGTAGATGAAGGCCGTGATGAGAATCGGTAGGTAGTTTGTGATGATGTTGAGGACAAAGATCTTTTGCGTCAAAGACATTTCGTGGTAATCGGCCGTTCGGTGGTTTTCGTAGTTCGTGAGCATCGTGGCGACTTCCTCGAGGCCGCTGCTGATGTAGGGCAAGGCGATAGCGAGCAAGCAGGTCGGAACGTATTCCTGCTGATGGTTAGCAGCTCGTTGAAGCATCAAAGGATCCTAAAGAGAACCTACAATCAAGTTCTTGTAGGGGCCGTCGTAGCCTTCTGAAATAAGCACCTCAATGGCAAACACAAGGACGATGATGGCACCCAGCGCCAGAGCGGAAAGCAAGACAAAGGGAATCTGGAGCAGTTGGCGGGAGACCGTCTTCCACTTGGGGAAGTAATGCTTCTCCTGGCCAGCCTCGTCCTTGATAATCTTGTCGTACTTGAACTGCGGCCTATTGACTTTGACCTTGCCAATTCCCTGCACGTTCCACCGGATGCTGAGGTCAACTTCCTGGATCTTCCAGTATTCCAGGAAGACGGTGCACCAGACACATGTCGCGATGGCGTAGGTGAGGGAGTACTTTGAAAAGTACATCCATGCAATGACACCGGTGATTGCGGGGAAGGTGAGGAAGAGAAGATAGGTCTGGATGAATGCGAAGTAGAACGCGACCTATATGTATGATCTGTTAGACGGCATGGGCAGAGAGTGCAGGTTGGCGGGACTCACCTTGGTTCCCCAGAGGTCGCGAATTGAATCGATATCGTCGGGCGTCAGGAACAGCCGCTTGCTGAGATGCTTCATGAGGGATTGGTTCGTCTCCTCATTGTGCAGAGGGAAAATGGCCTTGACATTCTTCCACTGGCCCGTCTCGGGCGTGATTCCAGCGCCACCGAGAGACTTGGGCCAGTTGACAAGGTGGTAGACTGAAAGAATGTCCTCTGCCTCAAAGGCGCCGTCGACGACGGTGGTCTTGGTGCCGCCGGGATGTTCGGGTACGATGCCATAGAGCCAGTCCTTTACTCTGGTGGAAATGTCAGCCAAGGGCTTCAGCTGACTGTGACGATGGTTGGTCCAACTGACCTCGACTTATAGACGGTGTTTCCTAGAAGCTCCCGAGGGGCCTTCACGAAGATAAGAAGGGTCTGATCATAGCCGGCTCTCACTTCCGTCTGGAGACCAGCAGACTCGAGTTCATTAAGGAGTGTGGTGAGCTCCTTGACGGAGGTCTCAGAATCTGGGGCACAGTCAGTCGGCCAGCCCCATTCCAATGACACTTCGGGGTCATGATAGAAAGACGAATGAGAAATTGACATACCGACTTCACTGAAGTCGTAGACGACGACATATTTGTCGTTGTAAGACTGCGGCTTGTGGGGAAGCTTTGCCAAGGGGTCTGTCACCCCTAGTTTCTCCATTATGCCCATCGTCCCTCTACAAGACCTCGCCGCGCGCGAGGGGGAGAAGGCGTGATTATGTAGGGTAGAAGGGTCAAGAATGGAAGCTCGGCACCGCCGACGTGAAAAAACGTCCCCAGTGCTCCACGGGCTGGGGCGGGACAAATTTTAACAAATGGAACAATTCGAGGAACCGAAGCTGATGAACCAGAGGGGGCCCCTCCGTAGTTCGCCAAGGAGAATGGAATGAGGAGCGGTGGGATGGGCAAAAGATTCGGAGAAGAGACCCAGTTTAGGTGTGACCCAGCACGTTGGATCCCACAGATCCGTCCGAAGGGCTGAAGTAGTGTGGTAGGGCCGAGAGTGACATCCCAGACGACCGACCAGTGAACACCTCTTTTGTCCAGTCGTAAACCTTTGTGTGCGGTGTGGTCACTGTGGTGGTGTGTATGACGTGTGACGTGTGACAATGACAACCGCTGGGCGTAGGTCAAGACTCGGACCACAAGGAGAGGAAATAGAAAGAAAAGGGAACAGATTTGCAGGAGATCGAAACTTCAGCCCTGAAGGGAACAAGAGTATCCGTAAGGTAAGACGGACCACGGAACATGCGGCCAGGGCCCGGGGGTACGAATTAGATGGGGGAAATGTGGCCCTGGCTCCAGATTTCAACCCCTTTCAAACCTCAACCACTTTGGAAGATTCGCCCTGCCAGGAGACACCAGGCCAGGCGTGCCAGGCTTCCCAGGCAGAAACTTTCTCTCGCCTGGAACATCGGCAGCCCATGCGTCCCGCGATGTCTCTCTTTGGCTGACGCTGAACCGCCAGAAGACCAGTAACGCGTCAGCGGCCCCGCTCGCCCAGAGTTAACGTTGCCGCAGAGCCGCGAGCAGGGGAATCGGAGCTCTTGGGGTCCTGCTATGCACTGATGCAGTAAGGTGGCCGACTTGGTCCAAGGGAAGATCCCCAGTCCGGCACTTCGGCTCATCCTTGGTAGTTACGTAAGGTCGGAAAGGGTCACGTGGAGTCTGGCTATAGTCGAGGCTATAAATAAACATGCCCGGGAAATGGGTGTAGGTTGTTCCGAAATACGGCGGAGTGGAAGCTGCGGAGCCCGGGCTTGAGGGCACTTTCCATCCCCTTTTCCATCCGTTCCGTCGTCATTTCATCCCCGGCCTAAGCTATGTTTCCCATGTCGGTACCATTAAAGGCCGAAAGAGGCGGCAAGCGGCAAGACAAGAGCTAGGGGCGTGAGCAGTGGAGGTCCCGCAAGAAAGGACAATAAATGGACAGTCGGAGTGGCCTTGAGGATCTATCTTGACTGTTACATGTTCACAGCCAAGAGCTTCAAAGCCACCTCAAATGATATATCAGGTCAATTTGAATAGCTGCCACAATTTGTAGGCGGATTTTGCGGATTTGGAAAGCTTCCTTTGCATGAAATGGAAGATGCCAGATGGATTGAGCCAATCAAATGAAGCGAAAATGCGGACTTAGGGGAGCTTTGAATTGTTTTCGGAATCGGCCTAACCACACACCGAGCCAAGCTCCCATCAACTTCCAAGTTTTGATAAGGAGATTAAATTCCTCAACGACAACATCGTCTGCACCTTCATCCATCTCATCCAAATCTCATAGCAAGTCATGGCTACACGATCATTAGTCGTAGGAGGTACGGGTGGCATTGGCTACGCCATCGCCTGCCGCCTCGCCGCAGCTTCGGCATCCTCACAAGTGACTATCAGCGGTCGCACAGAACCCAAGGACATTCCTCACCCCAACATCAAGTTCCGCGCCTTGGACGCATCTTCCATGCGCTCCATCAAGCGATACACGGACGACTACAAGTCTCTCCAAGACCCACAACTCGATCTGCTTGTCCTCACCCAGGGCATTCTCACTATGGCAGGTAGAACGGAGACGTCCGAGGGAATTGACCGCAAGATGGCCCTTCACTACTACGGCAGGCAGCTCCTCATCCGCGAGCTGAGCCCCATCTTGAAGGATGATGCCAAAGTCCTCATCGTCCTTGATAGCACCCGCGGAAGCCCGACGAAGCTGATTTGGGACGACTTGGACCTGAAGAAGAACTTCAGCTTGCAAAAAGCAGCAGACCACTGCCTGTCCATGACGGACGCCATGATACAGGCCTATGCGACCGAGAATAAGGACAAGAAGCAGCACTTCATTCACGCGTACCCTGGCATCGTGCAGACCAACATCTTCCATACCATGCCCTGGTATCTTCGGACCGCGACAAAACTCCTGAGCAACGTGATGGGTGTACCGGCAGATACCTGCGCCGAGAGACTTTTGGAGGGAGTGGACGAGGCCTCGGAGAAGGACGGCGCATCTTGGAGTTGTATCGATCAGAATGGCAAGGTGGTGGGCAACAAGGCTATTTTCACCGAAGAGGATTTGAAGAAGGTCAAAGATCACACTTGGAAGGTGATTGATGAGGCGCTTGCAGTTCCCAGCGAGTAGACGAAGCTTAAGCGGCGTGCACGTGTAAGATTTTGAGGTTGGCCTGTATTTTCGATACCACATAATTGAGACTTTACTTTCTGGCGCATTGAAGACCAAGTCAGGCACGTAACTGCCATCGCTTACGAGGTCTCAATCCACATTATTTATATCCTATCAGCTACCGTGGAGAGGAATCGGGTTTGCCATCTTCCAACCCCGGAAGGTCGCGAACTCCACCGATCCGGGAATCACAGGATCGGGCCCGGTGAGCAAGATGGCTGACAAGGGAACGACCCCGGCATCCCGGTAATTGTGCAAAATCTCTCATACATGAACCGTCAGGCACTAACAGGCAAACTATCAGCCGAGGGAGCAAACAAGCAAACACAACGGCCAAAAGAAAAGGAAAAGCGGGGTCTGCAGAAGGAATATGAAGCGGGCGGCACGACGGATCAGTGACCCGAGGAAAGGGGTAAATACCCTTGGTAGCAGACAAACAGCAAAGTTTGCTCTTTACCAGGCGACTAGCGCCGGCGATGGGAACATCCAGGGGTTGATTTCCTTTTCCTTAGCATCACCACAAACTCGCAATGGCACTTTTTGGTAGATTTTATGTGTTTTTCATCAAAGACCAGGATCGTCCTGTCACACTTTACCCATGTTGACTGAGATGCATCTTTGCTTATCTGAACTTAGATCACGCCGCTAAAGTGGCAAACGCTGAGGAAGCTGGTAGCTATGTAGCATACATAACCGTGTCTTGGTGTCTCGAAGCAGGTGTCTTCATTAACGTGCATTCAAAGTTCTGGTTGGCGCAAGTTGAATGTATTCACTATCAACCCGACGCAGCATTGAGCGCATCATAATCGGCAACTCTCCAACGACACTGCTCACAGCAGCAATGGACGGGAGCAACTTCTGTCTCCCTTGCTTCGAACGTGGCGTATTATGCCAGTCGCACCCGAAGAATGGGCCGAATGGCCCAACGCCGCATGGCCCAACGCCGCCGCGGTCCGCGGCAGCATCGATAACGGACGAGACCGAGACGCCCAAGAGCCCGGCAACGAGCCGTCAAACCCGCCGTAGCCCTGATTTGACTTGCCGGCAGTGTCGAAAGGGCGAGCTTAGATGTGATCGAAAACAGCCTTGCGGCGGGTGTGTTCGTACGGGTGCACGTTGTCGAAGTGCCTCGGCTGCCCCACCTCAAATATCAAAGAAAGATCATAGGAATACGCTTCAATCAAGGATTGGTCAGTCAGCAACATTTCCACTATAAAAGGCATTGCCTTGGAGTGAGGCATTGAGTGTTCATACTTCGGATACTGACAAGATGGGTACATGCAGCCACTCTTGAACGGCGCCTTGCGAGAAGTATTAGGAGCGGTTCAATCGAGGTCAACAAAGCCCTGAGACGGAGTTGCGAATCTTCAGCAAGCTCGGACCTTGATGACTCCAGTCTTGATAGTCCTCAAGAGACCCTGTCTGTTGCTACGGACTACTTCACTTCTTTATCTGACGCGGACTTGACCAATCCGGCAGGATCAGATGTCCCAACTCAGATACCCGCTCCTGTAGATTACCCCCAACTGCCTATCATCGCCAACGATGCCTTCAACTACACGGGCGTGCTTCCGACGTTGCCGGCTCAGGCTCTTGACGCCTTTCGGGATATTGAGCCTTTGATGAGAGCTGATCTGTGAGTATTTGTCCCGGGGCATATGTTGAGATTTCATTTTGACAACTGTGTATCTTGTTGCTGAACATTGCGTGTAGTGATCAGCTCTACTTTGACAGAGTTCACTCATTTACACCTTTCTTACACCAATCCTCGTACATTCGTATATCGAAGCATTTGAAAAAGAGGCCAGCAATGGACGGCCGATCTACATCGGACGAATCTAAACTTTCGCATACAAGTCTACAGTACGCAATGTGGGCGATGGCGTCTTCACTGTCATCACAGTTTCAACATTTGCGCGACACCATGTATCGCGAAGCCCTCGACCGCCTTAAGAATCTCGACTCTCCTGAATGTCCAATGGAGAAAGAGGAGGGTTTGCTAAAGCAGGCCCAGGCGTGGATTCTCATCTCGATATATGAGCTTATGCAAGTTGGTTTCCATCGTGCATGGGCAAGCGCAGGTCGGGCGATACGCTTGATACAGCTCCTGCGCCTGAGCAATATTGATACAAGTTGCGACAAAGTCTCAGAATCAACCGAGGACCCAGATTCCTTTGTAGATAAAGAGGAGAAGAGAAGGACATTCTGGATGGCATTTTGTCTAGATACTGTTATTTGCTTGATTCATGATCTGCCCCGGACGTTCACTGAATCCCAGGTACGCTCCCTTCTCCAAGTCATCAGCATTATTAGCCAAGCCTTTCTCAAAACTTACTGCAGATACGTCATGAGTTCTTTTACTGATGATAAGATGTATCCAGATATCTGCTCGGCTTCCCTGCTCTGAAGACGCATTCCAAAGCCGCACGCCCACAATCTCTCTCTTTTCCTCAGAAGCTATGGAGCTACAGACAGCAGCAAAGCAACATCCGTTCTTAGAATTCATTCTATCCATCTCCGTGTCCGAGCAGATTCAAGTTCACAAGACTCGATCGAAGATTGGGCATGAAAGTGGGACGACGCCTGCCCAATTCTGGGAGCGTCACATGTTTGTGGACTCCGTCCTCACGCGGCAGATTTCACGTCTGCAGGGCCTCCCCGTATCTCATCGCGCTGGATCTATGACACTCCTTGCCAGAATAGTGGCCCAAGTCGCGTCACTATCACTTCTGGAGGTGGCCGCGACCATGCCGGATACCGCTGCAGAGTACGATCATCTCGTTGTTGGCTATGAGGAAAGAGCTGTAGTCGCAGCTAGAGAGATTGCACGCTTGTCGAACATTTTACTATCCGATTTCAACATTTGCCAGATTCACCCATTTACACCAGCGCCATTTCATTTATGTCGGGAAGTTCTGGCCAGGTTTCAAGAACGTGGCATGGGGTTAGAAGATGAGGTCAAGACGATGGATGAAGCTTTGGGAGAGTTTAAAACTACAAATGCATTCTGTCAAGGTATGCCGAAGCCAGAGCCGGCTCGGTTTGGATATGGGGATGCCTTGGCGACGCCTGACTCTCTCATGGACTTGTTGATCGAGGAACCGAGTATGGGGGACTGAACATCACCTGGATCGTTCACGAGTGGTGGGTTAAAATCTTAGTCTTTTCTGGGCGTCTGTAAAGTCCATGTCGCAGTCATATTTAGCTGCTTACTTCAGCTGCATCTCAATTGAGTTTTGGAGGTTCTTCGTTCTACGTAACGAATTTGTCAGTGATCAAAATTATTACTCAGAAGCTGGAAGCACTGACTGTCTTATGAAATCTACACAAGAAACTCGCTTTGTCTTTAGACTGTTCCCGGCGTACATCGACCCTATCTCCGTTTTCACTGAGGACAGGTGATTTGCCAAACTGTAGTCGGCCGAGAGCCGAAGTCCGTCGGCGAGACCGTCATTGCTCTGAACACTATTCGGATGAGATCATCATCTGCCGGACAGGAAGACCGCGAACTCCGGTGTTCCAGGCCGTGCACCTAACATCAGTCAAACGTTGATATCACATGTGCAGCCAAATGAGTAAGCGCCGCCGACAGCAAAGTACTTCTTGCCTAACGAAGACTGAGCTATAACTGATCTAAGGATTACTACACTGTCCCATATTCCACCGATTGCAGACTTCCTTCACAAAGAGTTTAATAAGAGCCCTTTTACAATCATGTCCGATGCTAACGAAAAGTTCGAGATTGCCATCGTCGGTGGTGGCATTGTAGGTCTCATCACAGCGCTGGGCTTACTAAAGCGGAAAATTCCTTTCAAGATATACGAACAGTCCCGTTCCTTCCGCGAGATCGGCGCTGGAATTGGCTTCACTACCAATGCCAGAAAGTGCATGGCTCTACTGAATCCATCCATTGAGGAGGCCGTCAACGCCGTAGCCACACACAACGGGGAGAACGAGGACGAGCCCGAAGAGTGCCTCCGTTTCAACGATGGATATACTTGGGACAAGGCTCGCCCTGACGAAGAAGATATGCCCCTGTATAAACTTGACACTGGGCATGAGGGATTCGTTGGCTGTCATCGGGCTCATCTCTTAGACGAGCTTGTTCAATTCATTCCAAACGATGCGGTCGAATTCTGTAAGAAAGTGGTAAATGTGACAGATAAAGACATAGGGGGGAAAGTGCTTCTGCATTTTCAGGACGGCACCACATCCAGCGCTGATGCAGGTAAGAATCGCACTTCACTGATGCTATCATCATTATATTATGACTTTCAAAGATGTTGTTAATGTTCTCGTTACTGATGCTTACAAGTCATTGGATGCGATGGCATCAAGTCCAAGGTCCGACAGCTAGTTCTTGGACCTGACAATCCCGCTGCGTACCCCCACTCCAGCCACAAGGTCGCCTACAGGGCCCTGATACCCATGGATCGTGCAGTAGCCGCCATTGGGAGCTTCAAAGCCCACAACGAGCACTGTCACACTGGTCCCCGAGCACATGTCCTGCATTTTGCGGTTGCAGGTGGCAAGATCCTCAATTTTGTGGCCTTCGCCGACGACAACACTGATTGGGACAAGATGGGCGATGGAGTTGCCAACATGACAAGTCAGACGACGAGGAAGGAGGTTGCTGATGTATTCCAGGACTGGGGCCTTACGGTCAAGAGTCTCATCGACTTGCTGCCAGACGAGGTTACTAAATGGGCCATCTTCGATACCTATGACCATCCTGCTCCGACGTACGTCAAAGGGAGGCTTTGTCTTGCAGGTGATGCTGCTCACGCCTCCACTCCTCATCACGGAGCCGGGGCGGGCATGGGCGTCGAGGATGCGCTAGCTTTGGCCACACTCCTTGACAATGGCACGAAGATGTTGCAAGGCCTATCCAGACCTACGCAACACGACAAGTCTGTCCTACTGGAGGCCATGTTCCGGGCCTACGATACTGTTCGACCACCTCGTGGGAAGTGGCTGGTGAAGAGCAGCCGTGAAGCCTGTGAGATTTACGAGTGGAACCATCCCGATACTATGCGTGACTGGGATAAATGTCTCAAAGACCTCGAGGAAAGATCGCATAAAATCTGGGACTATGATATCGAGGGAATGATTGGTCGCT